CGAAAAGAGGCCCATGGGCTTCTTTTCAAGATAGCATAGGCTTCTTTTCGAGATAGTACAGTATATACAATGTTCATAAATTTCAGAAAACAGAATAAATTAAATACAAGCTTGGTTTATAAAATAGTTTAGGTGATTTAATGCCAGTTTAATACACTCCATGATACAGATTGATGTTAAAGTAGCCTTATTTAATATTTTATAGTAAAATTTACCACATTTAGTTTGAAAAGACGCCCACCTCTTTACTTTGCAAAAGTAGCCTCGAAAAGAAGCCCATCATCGAAAAAAACCCAATCAAAAGTTCGCAAAAAAAAAAAAAAAAGCTCCCCGTGGCTTTCTAAAAAAAAAAAAAAAAAAAAAAAAAGGGCCCAGGGCTTCAAATCAAATCGAGGTTATTGTAAGTACAATCGCCAATTATTATATGGACTTACAAGTAATCTTTTATAAGTTTTAATCTTCGTGTCTAACAAGATTTGAACCCGTTACCTTGATATTACTTGTAGTGACTTGTGTGGCAGCTTCGTGAGATCCCATGGTAAAAGCTAATAGAGTATTTCTTTTAAATGGAAGGACGAAGCGTATGTGGTTAGAATTTCCCTAATATGCATGTGAGTACATGTGGGTGTGAGGTATTTTATTGTATGGGATATTTATCTATGCATGCGTGTAAACAGGACTCGTATTCATATTAATTCAATTATTTATAGAACCACCCTAAGTATAGCAGGACTCACGGACGCTGTATATTATTATTTGTTCGACTCATTGTTCGATTATTTGTAACTGAATATTGCTTAATGCATATCGTGCCGCTCTATTGGAGGATATCTCAAGTACAACAATAGCAGATGGTGATGGTGATGAATGGCCGTTTACGAAATATTTACTCAAGAACAACTAAAAACAATACTTCGTTTGTCTCAAGTTCAATTGTTATTTTTAATAAATCATGAAGCCGATAGGAACATTTAAAAATATTTTATATAAATTATTTTTCCTTTTGATGATGTCTTAATAAAAACTCGGGTGATATACATATATAAATCTATTTTTACACAATGTATTTTAAATGAAGATTTTAACTATGTTTTCAAAAAATAAATGATTTTTAACTCAGCAGATTAATTAATTAATACACAAGAACCCGATCCTAATCATTTGTAATATCAGCTACGGTACAACGGTGTTTTGTGTGTTACGACCTTTTGTATTTTTCGTGTTTTAGACTTTTTATTATTAAAAACTTTACAATTTTACTTTGTGTATCGAACGACAAATTTCCAATTGTATGTTTTGTTATAATTTAGACAATACAAGTTTTTTGATTTTTTAAAAATTTGATGATGATGATTATGGTGAAGATGATGAGATGATGATGATGATGATGATGATGATGACGAGGATGATGATAATGGTGGCGATGATGATAATGATCACTGATGATGGGGATAATTGCCCACTATAAATATGGTTCAAATTAAATAAATAAATTAAGATTACGAGGGCGATGATTTTGATTATAATTACGATAACTGACTGTCGTAGAGCAACGTCGCAGTAACCACTGTCTTTCTCATAAGTTAGTTATATATCCATGGGCCTATTTTTTAAAAAGTTTTAATACATTAATATAAAAAAAATATTTATACCTACACTGTGTTACAAAACTAATATATTAATAAAATTTGCATTATATTAAACCATAAGCCCATGATGCACCGTACAAGCTTGTAATAAAATAATAGTATTGCATTAATTTAGTTTACAAAAATTATGCTACAGATTTATAATAAGCTAACTACAGAAATGTTGGACTATCCTCGGCCTACAATTCATAATTTCGTCGTAAATATAATAGATAGGTAATACGTTACTTGTAGTCGACTGTGATTATTTGCAATGCATTCCGGCCTCGCAACCAAAATCAACATACATTGAATGTCTCAGGCCTACTTATATGAGTATAATTTGTTCAATGTACTTACGGTCAGACACTGTGTAGATTTCGAATTGTCGGTATGTGGGACTCCAGTAATACACAACAGAAACCGACGGTCTATTTGCTGATTATGGAATAGAATGAAGCATATCAGGGAACAGTGAAAGTATATGAACCGGTTGAAGTCCATGCACTGGTTGGTCTATACACACATGTACTGTATGTACCTGTTCTATACTTGCGACCGGTTAGCTTATTATTTAATCAATAGTGTCAATGTGACCTGTTTGGATTGTACCGTAGTTCCGCTGGATTATATGCATCAGTTCACAATACGCTCATGACCTAAAGCCAGTCACGCTCTTGAGGATTCATGAATGCGCTAATTATGCTTATTAATTCTACATCGTCCTTCGGAACGGAAATTAAGCCGCAGGACTTTATTACGAAGTAGGGTTATCGTGTTCGGAAAGTTACGGTACCAGGATGATTCATACTGTGATACATTACTGTAACGCAAATAAAATGTATGAAATGAAATACATAAATAATTTAATGACCAGTGGGGTGTCAACCAGGTATTTATATAGGCCTAGCTTTGCTCAACTTTTTTTTTCAAATCCCTGTAATGTTATTTATTATCGTGGAGAATATAACGTGTATCCGCGTGCCTCTTCAATTGTACGGTGCTGTATAAATTTGTGTAACGGTGATGATGATGATGATGATGATGATGATTATCCCCACGAGGATAACCCGGTGTTGATCTCCAAAAGCAATACGAAAGACGAATTATATAGCCTCTTGTAAAGAGGCGCAGCATATAGGCCTATGTTTCTAAAACTTACCCCATTCTTGGTTAGGCCTATATAACCATAAAGACACACCGTCTGTGATATAATGCTCAAACAAGTAAACTTAAATATTTGAATTCTTACCGTCGTAGTGTATTATAATATTATTATTATAATCGTGGAGATACCGGTAACGTCTGCGTGATTTGCCTCTTCAGTAAGTTGTACCGGTATGCTGTATACAATTGTATAACGATTGTGGTGGTGATGATGATATAATAATAATGACAACAAACAGTAATAAACAGTAATAAAATAATAAATAAAAGTAAATGTACGTTGTTGATCTTCATAAGCAAGACGAACGACGAACTATATAGCTTCTTGTCAATAAGGCGCAGCCTATGTTTCTGAATCTTACCCCGTTCTTGGTTATATACCGTAACCTAAAGACTGTGATATAATGCTAAAACAAATAAACTTAAATAGTTGAATTGCTTAGTTTGTTTAGTAGGCTAAATTAATAGATTTTAATTAATTGAAAATCAGAATGTTTATTATTATTTTCCTTGCCTAACAATATTCCTATATATTTTTCAGTGAAATTTAACAACTTATTTGCTATGAGCTTAGCTGGAAGGGTTACTCTTTTTAAATATGGTTAAATTAAAAATAAATAAATAATAAAATCTTTATTAAAAATAAATTTTTAAAGATATTTTGCAGATTTAATGAAAATCGCTTTCTAGAGGGCGAAAGGTAATTTCTTGTCTCGATCATGCAAAACGAGTAATCACACGCGGCATAGTCCTCTATCTAGCGTCGTAGCGGTCTTCTCTACCTTAATAATACTGCCAAAAACACGAGTAAGTAGAATACTAATTAAAATATGCTTATTATTCGTTATTTACATTATTAGACCATAATCCAGATATGAATGTATTGCGATTCTCAATTGTGTCAGCCTCAAAAAGCCTAGGGTAAGGCTAGCCCTAGTAGTAACTAGGCTAGTGCTCAGCCTTCGCACTAGGCTAGGCCCGTCAACCGAGTCACGGTGGCCTAAAACCAGTGGGCTAGCTTAGGCCTAGAGGCCCTACTACTACTACAGACTCGAGTTCTGAGCCAACATTTCATTTATCCATGTTAAATTTACAATTAAACAGTATGATAATAAGCTGATTTTAATGATTAACGTATTAGACGACAATAGGAAATATTAAAATTAAAAAGTGTATTTTACCGGCTTCGCTGTTCGCTCGAATATGTCAACCATTAATGTTATGGTTAAAAAACGCCCTCTCTAATCTTAACACAAATTTTGTGTAGAAAAGTATTATTAGGAATAAATAGGCACAAAATGTTATATTGACAGAAAATTTTATCCGAGGCAGAACTATGAGAAATGCAAGTCAATGCATCTAAGGAAGTATGGATGAAATAACAGAGAAGCAAGTTGTTGGTGATTCAACCAAGGAAATAGCAGTCATGGATGAAATGACAGAAAAGGCGAAAAAGTACAAAATTCCAGTGGAAAGCGATGGGATGGCGAGATTGAAAAGAGTTTTTACCATTGAGTGAGTATCTGTGAAAAAAAAACTTTTATCTGCTGTATTTGACTTGTAATTTTCTGTTTAAAAGAACATTTTACAATTTCCCTTATTTTTTCCTAACCACCACCTTTAAAAAATACTTTGAAAAGAGAAGACACCAGACAATCTTTTAGAATAATAATTTATATAATATATAAGTAATATTTAAATATAATACTAATTTCAACATAAATCAAATTTGTTTTTATTAAGAATATTTTTCTTTATGTTTTTTTTTTTACTTATTGAATATTGACCTTTTTATATTTTTAAATAATTGATAATACTGTATTCAACATTAAAATTGAAATTTATGTAAATAAAATTTATCAATGATAATTATTTTATTTTAACGTTTTTGGTGTTTTTTTCTTGTATTTTATGTAATCAATGTCTTTTGAATGTGCGTTATAATAAAGATAATAAATAGCAAAAGATAGAGCAGTTCGCAATATAGTGGAACGCCTCATGAGGGCGTTCATTAGAGCGATTTTCCTCCATCCGAGTGGCGGCGCTATATCTTTGATCTCGGTTCGATTGGTTGGATAACGTTTGTTTTCATTAGTTTCTCCACTCCATCAAATAATTTTCCTCCATTCTAGAGAGGACAGACATTCCATCAAATTTAATGCAAACTACGCAAAGAGCTCATTCTTCTGCTATTTATGTTCTTTGGTTATAATTCATTTTTCAGTACTACTGTTTACTTTTTTATCCAATCGTTTGTGCTATGTTTTGATTTATTGCGTTAAAGATGAATTTGAAAAAAGCCCGAAACACAAGTGTATACTGTAATTAAAATTACATTATTCAAATGAAGGAGGCTTGCCATGCCAAAACTAACATTAGTGACCAAAAAATGAAAATTGACTTTTTAATATATTTTTATTCTCCACTCTTAAAATGATGCGTCATTTACTGGAATCAACTTACTATTGCCAAAGTTATTCTTTCTTTCTTTTTCTTTCTTTCAAGACATTTATTAACTTCCATAGGACACAAAAAGATGCAAAACAATTTTTTTTTTTTTAAAAAGGAAAACTATGGAAGAAGGCATGATCCCGAGGATATAAAGATCGTGTGATGGGGATGCCTGAAAAAAGAAAAAAAGTCAATACAGACAAAAAGTATGAAGAGCCAAATAACAAAGAAGGAGGGAAAAAACAAATAAATGAATAAACAAACAAACAAACAACTGAAGTTCATTCGAAAGCAGAACATATAAATCTGACCGCAAATATTAATTTAATAGAACGACATTAGGTTCTTAGAGAATCAGCATTTATGAGTACAAGTATTATGGCTTCTTTACTAAAGTATACAATACAGCTACATTTTTGTGGTAATTACAGGTCTCCCTCCAATTAAAGACCACTTTTGGAACTAGGTTTTCATGGTCATTAGCAGCTTTGGTCTCTAATTAGAATTAAACAATTAAAAAAAGAATCCATTTGCTGATATGGGACTACAGAAAAGTTGGAGGTGGTTCAATTGGAGGTGGTCTTTAATTAGAGGGAGACCTTTACTCAGTTTAGCAATTAGTAGTGACAGTATGCTGGTTTTGGAATGGCAAGCCTGAAAATGGTTTTTAGTGAAATATATAAAATTTTATTTCCAATTTGAGCAGTGATGAGAAAGAAGGACTGACACAGGAACTGTACGAGATGATCCTAATCCCATTAGCAGGCTTTATTGGGGGTGCTATTTATGGTGGTCTTCCAGCAGCTCGTCATGCAAGGCATCGCTTCATAGATATGTCCAATGCAGCGATGTATACACATCGGATAGAGGCAGTGGTACGTTCTACACAATTCATAACTAACAATCAACAGATCCACTGATTATGTTTAAATAACACAGAATGAATGTAACTCCGAATAATGAGAGGGAAGCCGTCTTAATTATAAGTATTAGTGGAGTAGATTGGTAGTAGTTAAGATGATTGCCTTTAAATTTAAGGTGAAGGATTATTTTCACAATCAAAAGCAACTCCACTTTAGTAAGACTAATTTGTGTAGAGTATATCTTTCATATGCATGTTTGTCTTGTGTAATTATATATTATTCCTCATGAGACTAATAGGACATCGTGTAAAAGAAATGTAATTAACTCAAATCTAATTTACAGTACTTCCATTTGTGATGCTGCTACAGATTATTATTATTATTAATTTATTTAGCCATCATTTGAAAATTATGTCTGGCCATCTCATAAGTACAGGGTCTATTACCTATTAGTGCCTTCATACTATACAGTATATAAATATACTTTACCTTAACTATTTTAATTTATTATTAATTTTTTGTAGTAACATGTTTTTAGGCCAAAGGCCAAGGATATACCAAGCAGTGAAATTAATCATTATTCAAAGTGGCAGATCCATTCACAAGATAAACATCAACACAAGATACGCTACATAAACTAAGCCTCATTATGAGGCTTAGGAAGTGAGAAAAAAATTGTGCTACCATGACAGGAATTGAACCCAGGACCCTGGGATTGGAAGGCAAGCATCTTAACCACCAAGCTATTCAACTCCACTCCGGAGAATTATACAGTATTATATTTAATGATGATAATGATGGTGACTTTATTCTTATAGAGAGCTGCTCAGAATGCCGGGTCACGAGGGTTTATACGTTACGGATTCAGATGGGGCTGGAGGACAGCTTTACTGGCAGGAGGATTTCAGTACGTTAAATGCAATGCAACGTATATTCAGTTGTATTTTGTAAAATGGTGGGGTTGGTGATGGTAATGTTTGTGGCAGTAGTGGGTGTGATGGTTCTGGTGGTAATGACTATGTTGGTAATATATTTTTGGTAAAGTTGGTGGTGATATTTGTAATAGGTGAGATGGTGATGGTGGTGGTGGGGTAATGGTCGTTGAGAGGGTGAGTGTGGTAGTGGTGATGGTTATAGGCATAGTAATAGTAGTGGTACCAATGTGTGTGATGATAATGGTTGTGGTGGTGGTATTGGTAATGTTTGTATTGATAATAGTTGTAATGGGTGATGGTAGTTATGGTGGTTGTTTTACATTGTTTATTATTGATTCTAGACCTATATGCTAGACTAACATCAGTGCAGCCTTTGTACTATTATTTTTCGCTAATTGCATTTTATTCCATTTCAGCTTCTTGGCAACGAATCTAGCAATTTACAGAAATAAAAGTGATTTACTGAATTATGCAGTTGCTAGTGGTATGTCATTGTGCCTCATGAAAATTTTTTGTTTGTTTGAGGTTTCAACCTTCATAATGCTATTCATCATGGCCACCTAGTCTGCATTTATCCAGTCATTTAGAACATCATTATTAAGTACAACACATGACATTCCAGCCCTACAAATCATGTTTTAATAACTAACTGAATTCACTTCAATGCAATATTTTGATCTTCTTTCATTATTATTGTTATTATCTTTATTATTATTTCTTTTATTATTTATTTATTTTTATCTGTATTATTATTATTGTTATTATTATTATTATTTTTTTTTAATTCATCTTCAAAAGACATGACAAAGATAACAAAGCAAGGAAGTACATTACAATATTAAAGTGTTTTTTTAACATTAAATAAAAGCAAAAAAAAAATAAATAAATAAATAAAATAAAAACATGACAGAATAAAGAGTCATTCCTTAAAATTGAAAAAAAAAACCACTTTCAAATTTAACGTAAATTTAAAGTTAATTTCCACAAAATCAAATAGATAGCAGTACAAAAATATCCTTTAAATTCACACATCTTATAATTTATTTAAATAACAAAATCAAGAAACTACTGTAAATAATGGTTATAATTATTGCATTCTCATCACATTATTTTTTTAAACACTGTTTCTCTTATTATTATTATTATTATTTTTAATATTATTATTATTATTTATATTCTTATTACTATAACTATTATTATTATTATTATTATTATTATTATTATTATTATTTTTATTATTATTATATCTTTGCCTTTATCATTGTTTCTTGGGTAGGCATCTTGTACATGGACATGTTCTCTTTATTGCCTACCAGACTCATTTCGTTTTGAGTAAAATAAAAATATGAATTATGAATTATTTAATTTAAATTTTTTTTGTTTTATGCTATCTTATAAATTTATTTAGAGAGTTTATGCCTCTTTACAGGAACAATGGGAGCTCTTTATAGATTTAATTTAGGTCTTCGAGGTCTTGTCGGTGGTGCTTTTGCTGGATCATGTCTTGGGTAAGATGTGGAATAATTTAAACATTTTAACTAACACAGTAAACGTTAAATACATGCTTATGTCATGTTGCCTATGACCAACGAGTGGTGAGACCAGTGTCCCTCACTGACCAGGTTGTGTAACTGGACAACATAGCAAATTGGTGGGACTCAATAATATTAGAGAAGGAAAGAAAAAATGAAGTAAAAGTTGTATGTACTTCCATGCATGTTGTAAATCCTATTCCAGGATTTCTTTGCCAGGGTGGTACGAGAGGTAATAGAGCACCAATGGTTTGGTGGGGCGGGGGGAGTGAGGTGAGGCTGACCTATGGTCTCAAGAGGTTTATTCTTTACATATTGTGGTGGTCCAGGGGGCACTGAGTTTTAGCCAGTTTAACCTCTTATCTAAATGATTTCACACTTTTGTCTTGCTGCAAGGGAGTGGTGGCAGGGTGGCAAGCACCCCTTTTACCACCCCTGGATCCGCCACTGATGATCCCTACGTATATTACATACTATGAATCCTTCATTACAGGATTCCTGCTGGTGTTGTTATGATAGTAGCTACATACACTTTAAGTGGGGAAACCATGTTGGAGCGTTATCGTCGAATACGTATTGAAATTGCTGGGGAAAAATGGGAGGATTTGTAAGTAACATTGAAGTGTTTGTAATCTGTCAACAAGTGAAAACAAAATTTTGATTGAGTTTTTGACACAGTTGTGTGTTGAGGATTGACAACATGAGATATTGAGGGCATGCTACCTTTTATCTGTATTACCACTATAGCAACATTAAGACGAAATATCTTGTTACAGGTAATAAACATGAACAAAAAAAATAATGTTTCAATTAGACTCTCATTTTAAATGTGCAATTAAATGTTTTTTTTAATATAAGATTGTAGGATTTTCCAGTTCAATGTCTTGTTTTGTTTTTCACCACAGGGAAATGAGGAAGACCATGACACCAATGATGTTAGATTATATGGAGGAAGAATTAAGAGCAAAGAATTTACTTCCAAAGAAAAATGAAGAACAATTATGACAGCAATGATATAATGATCTGATCTAATGAGGTCAGATCCGAACATGCCAATGACCTGATTAGGTTAATAAACTGACCTGATCAGGTCACTGGTTTTATGTAATATAGATGACCTTGGGTCAGTGAAAAGAGCTAATAAGGTTTAATGATTTGATTAGGCTTTGCCTTTCAATTTTCTGCTTTAATTTTAAAGTTTTTTTTGACATAATAATAGATAAAATATTGATTTTTTTGTGTATGTAAAGTCATTTTCAGTCTAATAAACTGACAAAATGAATTTTATATAGTGATTTCATTCTATAAATCGTTCATAATCAAGTATTATTCAGTTGGTCTTCGAAAAAGACCAACTTGAGAAGTTTACAAATTTTCCCCTCTGTGATGATGTGCTTTGTTAACATCAGAGGTCCCAATTTGGGAGAAGCCATCTCCATAAGATCTGGTTAAATGAGTTTTCTTAACCCATCTAATTTTGGGGCATTTGCCAGGTCGGGACCCCATGTCGTCCGACGCCATGACTAGGTAGTCAGTCAGATGAAAAATAAAAACAATAATAATTTGCATATCCAAATAATGTTATTTTAATTGCTAATCCCTAATGTAGTCCAAAAGCACAATTTGGAGCACACTAAGCCATAACAAATTTCCTTGTGAACCTTACTAGGATTTTTTATCTGGGCAGTCGACCGAGGCTCTAGTCGGGCGCTTGGTTTGGACCCTTTGTCGGCAAATTTCTGAAACCACCGCTGCACCCAACAGCAGTTGACTTAAGTGAGACAATTGATATATACAGTACATGCATCTATCATGGATTTGTCAAAAAAAGGGTTATTTTCCAGAAGAATTTTACTTGTTCTCAAGAGCGCAGAAACTCTGACAATTTTTGCAACTGGAAGGAGACTCAGAATCTCTGTTACATGTTAGGGTGGTTTGCATTTTTTGACTTGCATTTACTGGTACGTACTTTAGAGACAAACCTATACACAAAATTTACTTGTCAAATTTCATCAGGAGCGATGCCACTTATGAAGGTACTTTCAGATTCATAGACAAACCTACACAAAAAATAATTCCACAACCTCTGTTACTCTGAAATGTATTTATTCAATAATAACTGTCCATTACATTTGAATCACTTAAAGATGTATTTTCCCCTGAAAGTGACAAAAAAAAATCATAAATTTACTTTGAAATGAACTTAATCATATTGCAGTAACATACAAATTATTAACTTGAGCATTGAAATTATTGAATTTTAAAAATGTGTACCCTGATTTTTATACTTGATAATTAATTTATTAAAAAATATTAAAAACACTTCCAGTGACTGGAAGTAATTTGTATTATTTTTTGCTGTATAAGTAAATATACATTTTTTTTTTCATTGCAAGTTGATAATTGTTGTTATACTTCAAAATGAGCAAGTTAATTTCAAAAATGATTTTTATATTTGTTTATATTTTTAATAGGACAATACATCTTTGAATATTATTTAATCTTTTAAGTTCAGTACACAAATGGCATTACTAGTAATTTTAAAATTCTGATCCACCTTCAATGTCCAAATTAAACACTTCTCAAATCAGAAATTAATTATAACACTTCTAAAGTTTACAGATAGTAGTAAATTAATTATTAAATAATCCATTGTTAAAAATTTTTATACAGTAATTGCGTAAGGCAGAATGTTGTCACTTGGGTGTATTAAGGTAACAAACTGTTTTGTTCACCAACATGTATACCTGTATTCCTTATTGTCAATCAAACCAAATTTTTACAATTGCTCTACCAACTAAGCCACTGAGCTTTTAAATTCCCCTTGGCCATTGGTGGAACCAGCAAGGGGTCAAAAGGCAATATCAGATTAAAAGATGAAAAATTAATTTACTATCCATTAAATTTATTGTAATTGCAGTTCCTAATATTGTGGTCTAAAAGCACAATACTGTATTTAACCATCCTAAACCATAAAAATCTCTCCAAAATTATCCCCACTGAGGTTTTACTAGGAGACCCTGACCAGATGACCTTGGTTTGTAGATACCACTACATGAGGCACATTTTTTTGTTCAAGACATCCTGATTAAGGAAAAAATATTTTTCTCTTATCTTTTATATACATATTTTATAGGTGTTTCCATTCCAAATGCAAAGTGCAGGTGAAAATTGAACTGTAAATTAATAGTAACTATGTTCTACGTACATCTTAAACACCCACTTCTAATGAATGTAATTAAAAGAAACCACTATATCTGCCAATAAATTGTTTATAATCAAATTAAATAGTGCTTTGGTAAATTTGAACAAATATATTTTAACAATTCACAGATAATAATATATCTAAACATAATTTTTGATAATTTTAACACAATATATTTGAAAAAAATGTGTGGGTTTTATAAATGAACAATTCAACTGACTTACCGGTATATATAATAGTAAATTATCATAAATTTAATCACATTAATGTTTTGTTTTAGTGATATTAAATTTCGAAAATAGAACTCTTTTATGGAAAATACTTGTTTCAAACCAGTCAACATTGCTTTTTTAAAAAAACATTTACATTAAATTGATACTCCACTGTTTAAATCTAGTAAAATAATAGGCTTCTGCAATTGTAATTGCAAATTAGAGTAGATGTAGCTGTTATTCCTTGATCAGTCGTCGTACCCCCCTCTTTCCTGCAGGACCCTTTGGTTTGGCAAAAGTAGGTCGATGAAGGTTCCGTACAGGGTGTACCTCCTGATAGATGAAATCCTCTGTAAGTTCTGATGCATCATCAACTTCAATCTGAATAAAAAAAATATAAAATTACTATAATAATAATAGTGTTCTAGAGCTACAACCCTAACTTATATGCTTCATGCTAATGAGGCTATTATTACCACCAAAATCATTGGATTCAACACATGTGGAACACCCCATCCCTGGGGAGAATTCCATAATATTGCAAATATAATCAGTGAATTTTGCATTTGAACCTAACAGGTACTGACTTGTACTTCTGAGTGGAAAGACAACAATAGGTAAAATGCATTGCCCCTGAAAATTAAGACATTAAAGTATCCACTCATTACAAATTAAAACTAAAACCTTTTAAAAATTTGTAGCCATTGGCATTAAATATACAAAAACATACAAAGATTATATTGCATATTTCAGTAAAATTACTCCTGGATAACTTACGCTTTTCGCGACTTCTATATTAAACTCGCCCGCAATCCGACTCAGAAAAGGTGCTTTACACGTTGAGTATAACATTCTCTCTTTGACGGAACATTTGTAACCAGGCATGGAGTATATGAAAACTAAAAGCAGGAAATAAGTAAACATTTTCCAGATCATTAACCAGATAAAAATAAATATATAAAACATAAATAAACAATATGAAACAAAAAATTTAAATTGTTGTGTTTCACATTGTATTGGTGTATTCCTGTAAAAAATTTGTTTTATATTGTTATTTGGATGGATGGATTTATTCAGTGTGCAAACACCAAAAGAAAACCCACAAAAGTGTGAAGAAGACTTATTTCCAGTGGGGTCCTTCTGGTGGTGATTGTGCAGTACACCCAGAGACAATCCCCTACTCTTTTCCGATTAGTGTACTGCGTTCTTTAACATGCACGTAGGACCAATGGCTTAAACGTCTCATTTGCTATTGCAACTAGCATTTCACAGTTCAGCGCCACACACAGTGGCTACCACCAGTTTAGTCGACTGAGCTTAGCTGCTCTCTTAAGAGATTAAGTTATATTGTAATCTCTTAAGCATGGGAGGCCGTCCAAATTTCCAGAAGACGCCCTCAATTTGTGGTAGACTTAGGACCCCGGCATATTGTAGCTAATCAAATATAAATAGTTTTTAGTCTTATTAAATTTCTTTTGTTTATTGTGTAACATAAGCCAGTATGGTTCCTCATTCCAAACCAAATTCAAGTATCATATATTGTTTACAATTACTTGCAGACCTGCTGATATCTGTTTTGATGCACTGCTAATAATAATAATAATATGAAAGAGACCTACCAACTGATTTCATAAAGTCGCCTTCGTGAGTGTGCTTAAATAGAAATAAGTGATACCGTGGTGATGCTGGTGGGACATGTGATGCTATTTCATTTGCAGACAAATCATCAGCATATTCACCTAAGTGAATTTCTTCATTTTCAACATCTAATGACTGAAAATAAAAAAGAACCTCCAGTAATGCAGTACTGATTTTACACAAGAAAACAGTGGTGTATCTAGTTGTCTTAAAATGGGGGTGGGGTTGATGGGGGCCTTGATGATTAAGTGAGGGGGCACTAGGTTGCAAAACAAGGTGATATGAAGATATTATGGGTGTTTTTTATTTGCTTCGGAGGGGTTGGGGGAATAATAATAATTTACATTTTTATAGCGCATATTGCGCAGTGGCTCTATACGCTTTACATAAAATTATGAAACAAAAATCATGTTAACTATACAATAATATAATAAGGTGTGGTGGAAAAACAGCGCTAGGTCTCAAAGGGTCATCCATCCACATCTGCTCTGGCGTAATCTCGATCTCTACCTAGGTGGCGCGAACAAAGGAACAGGTTTCACATTTGCCCTGCCACAGACAACTGGGTACCAAGAAAGTGGTCCCAAGAGACAAAGCAGGCCACTCCATTGTGAGGGGAAAAGAAATATAAATTATTTAACAATTATTTGTTGAAATAAATGAGTTTTAGGTAGTGACTTAAATGTGTCCACCGACACATTAATGGAATATTGTTCCAATTGTGGGGAAATGATGAGGAAAAGGCACTGCTGCCGTAAGTGATTGCAGATGTTTTAGGAACATGCAGGATATTTTTAGATGCAAAACTTAGCGAGCGATATGAATGATGCTCTTCAATGAGTTCTCGGATGTATGTGGGTGAGTACTTATGAAAGTGACCAACAATATTTTAAATAATATTCTTTGTTTTACTGGTAACCAGTATAGTGAATGAAGGATGGGTGTGATGTGTTCATGTCGGAATGGGAAGCGTGAGCTTTTTCGGGGAGCGCGCAAAATAACAGCAACAGTAATGTACATTAAATTCATGTATAATTATTTTTTGTATGATTTTTTCTTAACCATATTATTTATAATATTGCAGAAAAAAGGCTACATGTACACTCTGCAGGTGGAAAACAGCGCCACGAGCAGCTCTACCAAGAGATGGATATGTGCGCCTAATAAGATGACATTATTATTATTATTATTATTCTTATAAAGTGTGAGCTTTCTAGCTTATTCCAGAAGCTCAGTTGATATTCAGTGGCCCCTTAAATACATGAAATAATATGATGCTATATAACTACGAGCCTTAGGGAGCTTATTACACAGAAGCATTAACAGAAGTAAAATTGCCATTAGTCAAAGCTTATCAAATATAATTTACGGTACATAACAAAGGTTGTTTGATGAAAATTATACATGTATTGTAACTTAATTTACATTGATTTTATCAGAGTTTATGCAGTATTTTTTTTTTGCCTGTTGTTTTTAATGTATTTGTTATTTTATTCTGATTTCTGTATTTTTGAGCTTCAACTCAATATATAATATATATATATATATACGAGTACACTTACAAGCTGTATATATGAAGTTTCTTCTTTGCTTAATCGTTTCAGCTGCTTTGTGGCATCATTTGATAATGGAAAATTAACACCTTGCATCGTCTGATGCTTCGTGTCAACACCGATGGTTTGGAAACTCTCGTTTTCCCTCATGAATTTGCGGTCTTCCTCAGCTGCAGTTAGCGGTGCCGGTGCTTCTTCTGCTTCTAAATGTTTGTGGTATCCACTTAACGACACATCATCCTATTGGGTAATAAATTAATTTAGGTAAAATTACTTATGAATAAATCAACTCATGGACATAGATCAATCAATGAAAATAAATTAAATTATTCATAAAATATTACAGTCAGTGAAATTTTTTATGAATAAATGAAATTAAATTCAGTTACACTATTGGTTAATAACTATAGTATCTTCAATTAAGGAAAATAATTTTTTTTAATTAAAAGTTTTTTTTTCATAATTTCCAAAATGTACATTTACATAACAACCAAAGAAAAAACAAAGATCAAATAATGCATAACACAAAGTACAAGAAAAAGCAATTTTCTTTCTCTCAACAAATAAATTCCAACTTTCCTTATGGTTGAAGTGATTTTTTTATAAATTCATTAAATTCATTAAAATTATAAATAAATAATGAAATTCATTGAAATTATTAAAAAATATATTTATTAAAATTAGTGCATTTAAACATTTGAATAACAAACAATTTGAATCTTATAAGTGTTCGTCTTCCTTATTTCTGTATCGTTTTAAATTGAAACCGAAATTCCAAGATTGTTTAAATGACGAAGAGAATTGTCTAATAAGAAAACAAAACATTGTTTTGTTTTGTTTATGAATTTCTTTTACATTGTACTTTCTATTGCTTTTGCAAAAAAGATATGAGCCTGCTCTATAAAATATTAAGTAATAAATATTTTACATATCTTTAAATAAAACAAAAACCAAATAAAGAATATACTTTATGTCTTTAATAAGACTTTCAGCCTGAATATTAAATATTTTAAGTTATTGAACAGACTGTCTTACTGGAGATGTGCCGTACAGCTCTTGCTTTATTTGCGCAGAACCAAATTCCGTCTTGAGAGAAGACTTGGTGCTTGCGTACAACATTTTATCACGAACCTTAAATATAAAACAAATGACAAAAATGAATAGTACATTATATTTATTTATTCAAAATAATCTCAAAACTTCCTTATATTCTTAAATTAAGTTTAATACTCTGGTATATCCTTCACTTGGCACCTGTCGGTAATTTTTGAATTGGCGCAGTAAAACATTTCTTATTTATCTAATAATAATGTTTTATAAAGGAAACCCTTCCAGCCCCTTGGGGACCTTTTATATACATTAGACACCAAAGAACCTTACATAGCCATAGACAATATAATTATATCAAATTAACACAATAATTTAATATTTATTAGATAAAGATAGTAGGACAAAATTGTCTGGTATTTACCTGGCAAAAATCTGGGACATAGAGTATGAAGATCCACTCAAAACCTAAATCATTCTTGGTATCAAGTCGAAATATAATGTAACAGGATTCCTTATCTTTGAGCATTGGTAGTACTGCATTATCATAATGTACAGTATTGTTAAGAAGTTCAAATACAAGTGACTTGTATATTTACCCACCACTCAAGGGTGCTCATATCCCTGAGAATTATATTCGGTTATAGTAAAATAAACAACAAATAGTGCCCATACATATGTGATTAAAATAGGAACAAAAGTAAAATTAAACTTATTTATTTATTATGGAATGTGTGTAGATAGAAAACTGTTAACATTCTGATATTTTCCATTCATTACTGATACCTCACTACACTTACTCCCTTAGGGGTGATTGCTTACTTCAAGAGAAATATCAGTTATAGTAAAATAAAAAACACTAAATATACATCTGTGATTAAAGTAAAAGCAAAAGTGAAATTAAACTTTTAATTATTTATTATGAAATGTTTGCGGATAAAAATCTACTATTGATACATCAGCCTTTAATTTTTTCCAGCTGTGAGACTAACATTAAACCATACTGTAATGCAATTACTTGTGACCTATGTTCCTTCATATGCTAAATCAATTTTCAAATAGTTATCCTTGTGAAATAGTTTATGTTTTATCCCTGTTTCCCAATTAGTTGTTCCATGCCTTTTTCTCAACTACAATAGTTACACCTTTGTCATTTGTAAAGGATATCATCCTCCCATGTGCCCCGGACATTGAAGCTCTCTGCCACCTCCATTGACTCTGTAAATAATAAAATATAAACCGTAAACTAGACAAAAAAGCTATTCTTGATTCCATACAAACAACTGGTAATCAATAAATCAATCAATCATTTAATTTACTGCAGTCTGAATAAAAAATATTACAAATTGAAGTAGCAACAGCTGAATACAGTAATTAAGTTAAATTTGGACAAATCTGGACTTTAAAATTTATCAGATACTGCATCAATCATTAAATGAACATTCACATATTTTATTTTTATTTCATTATTTTTTATTTCTTTATTCTGAATATGTACATAAAACAAAGACAAGAAACATCATATTCAACGGATAAAAACACAATAATGTACTGAAATTGGCAACTTATTAATAGGTTAACATTAAACAATTACAAACAAAATTATAATTGAGATGAGAGGATGTCTGCATTTTAACATATTATACCAAAAAAATAAAGACAGGTTTAAAGTTAAACAGGACATTTCAATGCAAAAGAATATAATATTAAAATTTGGTTTTAATTAAAGGTTAGGCAAGAATTTTTTATACCTTGTTTATTTAACCTACCAATAATGATGATATCGAATAAAATAAAATAATTAGCACACCCGTCGCCACGAAAAAATGGAAATTTCAGAAAAAATAAGTTTTTCTTTATTCTTCTTACACCCACCACTGCCTTGAAATCTCCAAAACTAAGATATGTATGTTTCTTCCTAATTATATGAATTTAAAGCATTCAACCATCCCATTGTTACACAGCTACATTCATATATTTTCTCTTCCATCTGGATGTTTTTGGCAAAACCATTTTCTTAATTATATAAACAAAATTTTATTTTTATCGAAACAAGGAATAAAAAGGTCTCGCCCTATATAGATAATACTATTAACATATATTTTTTGTATGCAATAAATGCACCCTAAAAACATTATAGTTACCCCATCCACAAATGGATTACATTATGATTATACTTGACTGATTAGACGAGACTTTTTTATTCCTTGTTTCGTGTACTTATGTTTTTTAAAGATAATCTGTGGAAGGCGGAATAAAAATAAAATTTTGTTTTCTTATTTAGCAAATAGATTTGCCAAAACATCCAGACAGAGGAGAAAATAAAAATTATTGGTGAATGTAAAATGGGATGGTTAAATGCTTCAAACTTATATAATTAGGAAGAAAAATACATATTTTATCTTTAAAGATTTCAAGGCAGCAGAGGGCGTAGTAAAAATGTAAAAAAAAATGTTTTTTTCTGAAATTTCCATTTTACAGTGTATGTGGCGGCGGGTGCGCTAATTGGCCAAAACTAAAAATTTTTTTTATTCGAAATCATTAATATTTGCGTTCGGCGGGTTCACTAAACAAGGTATAAAAAAAGTGTCGCCTTAGCTATCATATGAATGTTAAATAAATTCAGAATGCAGTACTCACCCTTTTCAGAATCAATTTTAACTTTAATTGCCCTAACATTTTCATCTGCCTTTGACGAAGCAAAGAAATTCTTCAGTTCTTGGGAAGCTACACAAAAGAAAACATTATTAATATTAGACCTAAGGCTAAAACTAAAGAGAATAGCAGAACCATTCATGTGGAATGACAAAGCCTAATTAAATAGGCAAACATTTACATTTTACAAGCCAGTAGAGTACTTAAATTTTAAAGATAGCTATGTATGTAGCTAAACAGATCATTTAAATGTCATTCAGCCTATCGGCTAAAACATAATGATCACTTCCTGAAGGTATAACGCTAATGGGAGGAAACGCATCCAACGCCTTCGATGCAACGTGTTAATCCGTGCGAACAGGTGCAAGAAGGCCTACGAAAGATACGATACATAGTTACTTCTGTATGGAGTTGTTTGTATCGTTTTAAAGTGGCAGATAAAGTATAATGGTAAACTACCAGTTATTCCTGTCTGATGTGACATTTTGTAAACAATAATATGATTGTTTTGTTGAAAACACAAGACACTTTGACAACAACTTTCCGGTAACTTCTTTTTGTTAGTAGGCGGTGTTCTTTTGACTTCCGGGTTTGTACTGTGTTGATCAGGTGACCGAAAACAATGACGTCATAACTCTACATTGGCCTATCAGAAGTTCTGTTATCGAACGTTCGGAAAGCGATGTTGACAAGATGGCTCTCTCCATTGTGCTGCAATGTTTCTAGATGTGTGAACAATTTCCTACTATTATTAAAGTAAATGCAGTGTACGTATATCGTAGTAAAACTGATCGATGGACGGTAGAATCAAAACAGCACATGATATCACAGAACGGCTGCGAACTGATGACGTTTTTAATGACGAAAACAGCAATGTCGATTTTGCATCACTGCTTCTGTCTGGGCCAGTGTTGGAGGGATTACAAGGTGCTGGTTTTCAAAGGCCATCACCTATTCAGCTGAAAGCTATTCCACTAGGAAGATGTGGATTAGGTAAATAAGATCCCGTCCTTTCTCCTTTGAAATATACTTTGATATTAACACAGTTATTTCTCAACCATGCCTGGCTAATTATGGTTTGAAAAAGGAGTGGATTCCTGAAGGAGGTATCTTGGAACGGGACAAGATTATTTAAATCATTATAAACACATACTGTAATGTAGCTATATTTATTGTTGAGTGCGCCCTCACTAACCATTATGTACCGACCACAGATCTTATAATTACAAGATAGCCTTCTACGCAATTTCTGTGTGCAAATTTGTGTAATAACGCACTGCGCAGTGCATGGCACCCCTTGCAAAAGTGGTTACTTTTCAAATTTAACATCAGAGATCGTTAACTAAAGATGGCTTATCTGCGTGCAAATTTTATAACAGCCATGGTAACAACTAGGGCTAGAAACGTGGAGAGCGTTATTTTGTGCTTTTTAAAGATTTTTGGTACTGACCTATAGATGAACAGCAGGGGTCCCAAGAGTCTCAAGCATCGTAGGAGCCTCCAGAAATCAGAACAGCTTCCTGCACTGCTGTGAGCATGTAAAAGCCACAAATCTCTTGAAAACTAACCCACCTTCTGCAAATTCATATTTGCATGTTTTTAATACTGTATTATTTTTTTTCATTTTCATTTCATTTATTCGGAATATAGTCTTCGGAAGTAAGTTTGCGATGGGTATCATGACAAGCAGTAAATGCTGATTGATATCTCCTTGAATTGGCTTCTTCCAAATTCTAATTTGATTTCAGATGGAATCTTCACCTAGCAACTAATCGCACTTTTCTATCATTAGGAGAATTTGACGATCATACTCAAAAGACTGGAACGTTGCATGAAATTACAGGACACCCTGATTAAATCTGCAGAGTTGGAATGTAAACCACTTTAAATTTATCTGCACTGCTTCTCTCTACCCAGGAGTATAAATGGGTACCTGGCGGGGTGGCCTGCTCCTGTGCTGATTACCAACAGTAACATTTAAGCATGTGAACCCAATGACGCAATCATCAGTTCGTATTGGTGTTTATTTTTAGATCTTGTAATCCAAGCGAAGTCTGGCACTGGGAAGACGTGTGTGTTTTCCGTGATCGCTCTTGAGAGTGTCGACTTATCCAGCAGTGCTACCCAGGTCCTTATCCTGGCACCAACGAGGGAGATTGCAGTGCAGATCCAGCAAGTGATCCTGGACATTGGCAGGATGATGCATAGTCTTAGATGTCATGTGTTCATTGGAGGAACGCTGATTGGTCCGGATAAACAGAATCTGAAGAAATGTCACATTGCTGTCGGAACGCCAGGTGAGATCCTCCTGAATTCATGAAGACACCAAGCGCGAATAGAATAACAGTTCTACGAACAATTTTCTGAAATAACCTACTTGTTGACATGCCTTTTTGTTTTAAAGCATTCTGAGATAGCGCAATAGATGTGCCCATGATGAAAACGAACCTTGAAAATGAAAATTCAAATTATTCATTATATTCTATTTAATTGAAAGGCTAATACAGTAGTCTAGATCTTGATAGGTTAAAGATCAAGTAAGGTTTAAAAGAAGATGAACTCCACGTAAAATATTGTAGTTCTGACCCCCAGCAAATCCAGGTACATGTTAAATCGTAGGTACAATTGGCAACACATTTCACAATAACTTTCAAATCCACAACCTGTCTCTTATACACATCTAGATGTGTATAAGAGACAGGTACAGTACAATGGACACTTCTGGTAAGCCCTGCCTAGAGGTGGATCCAGTAGGGGCACGGAGGGCACCAGGCCCCACCACCCGTTTTGTCACTAAATTTTTTAAAATTTCAATGCAAATCAATGTTATGTGCTTCTCACTTACCTATTCTGAAACTGTTGTGCCCCCCTCCCCGTTTGAAATATTCTGGATCTGCCCCTTCCGCCCATTATGTATTGTTGTTTACGTCCCACCAAACTACGGCATAAATGTACACAAACACATGCTTTTGTGGGACAACACGTGTGTTTGTAGGACATGTGCATTATTCCTAGAGCCGTTGTGATTGGCCAGTTATTAAGTGTGATTGACACTCCATGAAGGTCTATTAAACATACAAATATAATGAATAATTCAATAAATACATTAAAATATGATTTCCTAGGTTTTTTTCTCATGACTAAAAACATCTCCACTCCCTAAACCTTGTAATGAGGCTTAGTTTACAAAGCATCTAATTAGTTCATTTACATACAAGGGCCCTTGAATATCATCTGACCTTCTAGGATATGCTGGAAGAGTAACTGTCTATCAATAAGAAAGACAATCCACCTGCTCTTTTCAAAAGCATACTTGGATTTCTTGAGGCCTTCCTCACATACAGTATATTGTTACCTGAGACAACTATATTTATATAGTTCTCTCAGATTGTTACACCACATTTTATATACTGTAGATATTTCCTTAATTTGTTCAGCTGATCTTGAAATTAGAGTGCATTACATTATTTTCATAATTCTCATTTTAGGTCGCTTGAAGCAGTTGATAGAGACAGGTGTACTCGTGCCAGATTCTATTAGGCTCTTTATTCTTGATGAAGCAGACAAACTATTGGATGACAAATTTCAGAGCCAGATCAAGTGAGAAGAAAAACCTATTGTTTTTTTTAACCTAATTTACTGGAGCCTAAAATTGCACTTCTGACAAGCGTTGTTATAAAATTTATTATGTCAGGAAATTGATTTTATTCTTAAATTTCCTTTTAAAATTATTTTTAGTATGGAGGAGGATGAATTTTAATATTGATAATTGTGGTCTAGTTGTGATTAATATTGTGAATATATCTTTGAATAAATAAGAAAATTATATTATGATTATGATGATGATTATAGTAGAGTAGTAGTGGTGATGACAACGATGACGACACAGAGAGAGAATGATGAGGATGGTACAAATGATGAGTTCAAGCTCCAGCAGAGATTATGACATTGAGGTACACAACAACGGACAAAAGTTAAATCACATGTATGCGAGAAGCCAAGGACTCTCGATGTTGCTGACGCACTTCTCCATAAAAAAAATGAAAACAGTGAATACTGAGTGTGAAGCAACATAGACTGACGAGTCCCCTTGTTATGAGTCTCGAAATCATTATAATGTACTAAATTTCATGGGAATCACTTGAATCTATGGGAGGCCACTTTCTAATAGATTCCATGTTTTGTTATTTGACAGCTGGATCTACAATGAGTTGCCGTACAACAAGCAGATGTTGGCTGCATCAGCGACTTACCCAGAATACCTGGCTCAGCACTTGACTACTTACATGAGAGATGCGACTTTTGTCCGATTAAACCCAAAAGAAATTGCCCTTCACGGTAAATTAAATATATGATGATATATTTTGTTTTCAATATTAAAACTTATTTTCTTCTTCCCGCTAAACTTTTTTTTAGCAAATTTAATTATGTAAATGTTATTGCTTGTTTTGATATTGTAGGCCTAAATATTTGTCAGTGCTATTTTACTTTTATTAATCTTTGTATTAATGGTTTTATTATATTTATGTATTTTTAATTCTATTTATTCAATTGTTAGCTTTTTATTTCAATATTGAATTGTATTTTGAGTATTTTTATACCTGAATAAATAAAATAAATAAATAAATAAAAAACATTTTTTATGGTTTTTATTTTATAGTATTTATTCCCTTCCCTTCTGACAATTTTTTTCTCTTCCCTCCAAATTTTTTCTTTCTTAAATTGTCACATTTTTTTCTTCTTTTCTAACTGTATACAACTGTATTTTCCTTTTACCTTTCATCCATCTTTCTCTTAAATTTTTACTTCTTCTATCTTATATCTCTGTCGCTTTTGGAAATTAAAAAAAAAAGAAAAAGAAAGAAAGATAAAGAAAAAAAATTGTCCCCAAAAACGCCTCAGAGGCTACTTTCGGTCATCTAGAAAACAAAAATTTCAGACCCCCAGGGTGGTGTTATCTCAATTGGCTCCATTTTCGGCCAATATTCAGCCCCACTTTCTCACTTCTCTTGATCCACTCTTGTATCAGTCTTTTTTATATATCATTCAATTACTTTCACTTTTGTCTTTCCATCCCATCCACCTTTTCCTTTCCTCACTTAATATCCCACTGGCTCTCTTCTTCAATTTCACAACATTTCATAAATTTTATCTGACATTATTCAACATTGTGCATTTTTTATATTTACTTTTTTTTTTACTTGTAGGTATTCGTCAGTACTACAAGTTAGTTGAAGGCCATGAACTTCCTCATAAAGCATTTGCTGTAAAAGTCGACGAACTCATCGCTCTCCTGTCCAATGTGACTTTTCAACAGTGCTTAGTTTTCTCAAATTTGCATACCAGGTAAGAACAGCCAAAAGTAGAGGGCTCTTTTTCTTTTTACAAAAAGTTTAAAAACAAAAAAGTCCTTTCACTTGTCCTAAGAATGCCAGTTTTTTATTATTAAAAAAAAGGTTACTATTCCCGAACAATTCAAAACTATTAGGGATAGGTGAGGCTAAAGCAATTTCCCCGCTGCTATTACCTTCTACTTTGCCATTCCAGAGCTGAGAACCTTTGTGACATCCTGTGTCAGAGAGGTTGGCAGAGTGTCTTCATGTCTGGAGGACTAGAGCAGAAGCAACGACTTCATGCAATGTCAACGTTCAAGAAATTTGAATGCCGAGTACTGATTTCAACTGACCTGGTATGAAAAACTTTAATATTGTACTCTTACACATGTGTTGCTTCATTTTAAAATAAGGTTGATATATGGCAAGAGTTGGTGTTACCTGATGATGAGGTTTGGTGCTCATTGCGTATTGATTGTAAGATTTCAAGGTGTGGTATTATGTCAAGGTGTAGTGACTATGCCACGCTGCTGTTTAATGCAGAGTTTGCTGCAGACTTCAGTATTTTATATGTAGTTAATGCTACCTTCTTTTTGAAATTAGGTGCTAGTGTGTTATGACAGGGTTTTGGTACTAAAATGTTATGAAAAAGTTTGGTACTACTTTGTAAATGGGCAGTGCTATTGTGTTTTGCTAATGTATTATGACAAAGTTTGTGTGCTACTATGTTGCACCACGATTTGTTGCTATTGCTGCTTCATCTATAGCAGGATTTTGTGCTACATTTTTATTACATTTCTTCTTCTTTACACAAATAGACAGCCAGAGGAATAGATGCTGAAAAAGTGAACTTGGTTATAAATCTAGATGTTCCTGTTGATGTCAAGACATACATGCATCGCATTGGTAGAGCAGGGAGGTTTGGAACCTATGGAGCAGCTATCACGCTTGCCAGTTTTGGTAGAGAAGAGATATTACTGCACAGTATTCAGAAAGAAAGTCATGTGCCCATTCATCTTCTACCAGGTTAGATTTCTTATTGGCCATGTTGATTTTGTCTTTTACACTTAATAATTGCTTTAGGTCACTAATAATTTTATCACAAAAGTTAATATATTTTGATTTTATTTCCAGCTTTAAACTTTCATACCTTTTAATTACTAAAATTAATTATGTATTATGTGCATAATAAGATTTTCATCACCAGAAAAAAAAAAACATGAATCAGATCAAATATAGGGCAGTATTTTTTAAATATATTTGACACATTATATATAAGTTTATAGTTTGCCTTTTCAGTCAAATGTTTCCGAAAATTTTTATCTACAGATTCTGTGCCTTCTGACCTCTTAAGTCCAAGTGCTGAAGTAAGTAAGGAACCTCTTATTTCAAAAGACTTCATGTCTGTCTCTAAAGATGATTATCATGATGATAAACAAACAGTGGACAATCGGCATTACACTTCAAAATCAAGACAATCCAGATTGTTGACTTCTGCCCTTTCAAAACAACCTGGAGATTCTTTAACTGTTTCATGTGTAAATGAAGAAACTCCCCTCCAGGATCTCACTGAATCTGCCAACCTCTGCTTTTCCATGGCACCTGTAAAGAAACCAATCATGGTTGATAAAGGTTGTCAAGTCGACGATCCTAACTCTTTTCTAAATGTTATTACTTCAGAGATACCTTCATTGAGGGAAACTTTAGACACTAGAAGGTGCTACCCATTGTGGTCTTTTGCAGCAGCTTTGGAAGATTTTAAACATCTTAAGAAAACTGGTAATTTTGAATCTAAAATAGACAATAAAATACTGGGTAACTTTGTCATTGAGGATGCTAATCATGATTCAAAAACCTTTTCACAAAACAAACATATGCAATCAGAAAAAGACATTCAGAGGACAGTATCACCACCAGATGAGGACAAAGAAAAGAAAAAAGAGAATGAAATGGATGAATTTCATTTACCAGATAGTAATGATTCTATGAACAGGGTTGTAGAAGAGAAAATTGAAAATGATATTCCTCACAACTTGATTTTCAAAGGCACAATTGATGGTGGAACTGAGGATGAACAGAGAGCTGAAGGAAAAAGAAACATTTCAACTGAAGATAGGTTGCTCATAAGAAATATAATTGACAGATGTGAAGAGAAACTGTCTTGTGAAAATGAAGAAGCTATTGACTCATATGCTACTGGTAACTTGCAATTTCAAGATGAACAAAAAGATAGTATCAGTTCTGTGACAAAAGAGAGTTTAGGCAAAAGAAAAGCAGATAGATCATGTGACCAAAGGATGGGGACATTAAATGAAATATGCAATAGTAAAAGTGATCCTAAAATGTATGAAGAATCTCATAGGAACAACAGGAAAATTAAAAGCGACACAATTGTAAGAAATGAAGATAAAGCAATTACTGTGAGACATAAACAAACCATTATGAAATATTTAGAAGTAGAACAAGTTAGAACATCACCTAATACAGCCAGCAGTAATGTGTTGTGGACAGAAGAGGAGGACAATGAGGAGGAAGAAGAAGAGGAGGAAGAGGAAGAAGAGCAGGAAGAAGAAGAGCAGGAAGAAGAAAGTTATGATGAAACTGGTAGCAGTATTGTTGAATCATCTAATGAAAGCATTACTACAGAAAACACATCTTCCTCAAACGATAGTGAAGGTGAAAGTGACACTTCACAGACTGATGAAGAAGATGATTCAGCAAGTAACATATACATGATAAAAGATGGAGTTGTTGTTGAGGTTAGTTCAAAGAAGCAAGGTTCAAGTAGGAAGACAGTTTACAAAGACGTTGAAGATTCATTAGAATATCTTGAAAATAACTCCCATTCCAAAGAAGTGCCAGAAATGGAAGAAACAACTGTGTTGGATGGCAGAAGAGATGTTGAAAGGAGAAGAAAAAGAAGCAATAGAAAGGAAACACACCAGCAGTGTAGGACTTCAAATGAGTTGTATAACAATAACCCATATTATGACTGCAGTGGCGGCTACCAGTGTTATGGTACTGTGCCAGGTTATCATCATCAAATGAGTCAAATGGGCTACCATGCTGGACCATCTTACCAGGACTTCGGATGGTCAGGCTTGCAAAGCTGGCCTTATGTGTGGCAAGTGCCATATTGGCCTACTTACCCTGCTGGAATAGCAGGCTCATACCCTCAACATCCTGTTGCTGGTAACCAAGGGCCTGAAGGGTTCCCATCTGGTCAAAGTAATGTAAGGCAACCAAGATCTCAGGATTATGAGCAGAAGTATTAACATTTAAAAATAAGTGAAGAAATGAGATTGTGAATCATTTTGAGTATCAACGCTTTTTCAAATGAGTTACATTAATTTTGGAGCATCTGCGCCAACCACTGTGACAGTACCCTAAGATTCAAAGGCATCGTATAAGCAAATAATCCAAAATCTGAGTTTATGCAACTACAGTATATACTCGAAAATAAAATTTTGCAGCTTGGAAATACTAACTGGATGTCTAGAACATTTTAATCCTTCGAAAATATTGTAGTTTCTGTGCATGGTGTACTGCAAATTTCAGATTTTGGAAGATCTGGGTACTATACAAAGATTATTCATAATCAATGTTATAACATGGAGGAATTAGTTTAAATGACTTACTTTGAGGCCATAAACTCTCTGATATTTGAGTATTTGCGTAATGTACAGATAAATACCAAATTTTGGTGGTTCTGCTTCAAATGCAAACTCTCCAAAATCAGAGTATCTCACTTACATTGTCAAGTTCATTTACCCTTTATCTTGGAAGCCTAATTATTTATAATTTATAAAGAAATAAAAGAAAGAAAAATGAAATATATTAATAACTTGGTTTTTTTTTTATCTGTTGTGGATATATCACAGAAAAAGAATACTTGCCATAGTTATAATACCAGGGTTATCTATCTCAGAAAAGATGATATTTGTGGCTCGGCCTACATCAATGGTGAGGCTTCAACTCACTTCAACAATTACATGTAGTAAAGCACTGATATATAATATTTAAAAAAACCAGATATTTTTAACGAAAAAATATCCCACAATTAGTAATTAGAAGTTGACATAATATCCCTTCTTTCTAACTGGTTTCATCTACACAATTTCCATCTGTTTTAAAGATTCATCCTTCATTCTTCTTTAGAGTATACTTTGTTATACTGTATCAGTATGGATTATTTAAAAACTATAAACAGACCTACATATTATGTACCCTTTTGACATTCTTTCGTATATTTTTAGAAGCTAATGTAATCTATCGGTGTTCAACGATTAGGCGATGTTACAAAATGATGAATGCAAACTAACTTGACACATCACTATATCTGGGCCCATTATCTTGAATGTACAGGATGTTACTTGATTCATCTTGATCTGCATTTTATGTCATCAACCTCCTTCAGTTCAATGAATAAGCAGACAAGTGTACATCAGTCCACAGGCATATATATATATATATATATATATATATATATGTTTTGTACGTCTTAGCTTCATTTCTCTTTTACCAACTTAGTGAGAACATGCGCCATCTTCCACCAAGAACCAGCGAATATAAAGGGCAGGGTTTTAGGACCTGTCGGTCGTGATTTGCAATCGGCCGATGACTCGGACAAAAGAAAAACATACACTATAAAGTATAACACGTGTTTAAATACATAGACTTACATAAAAAAATAACACGTGTTAACACATATCAGCTTAAAATGGCCTAAAATTTGTACAGTTTTATCTAGATACCAGAAAGAATCACTGCCAGATTCCCCCCCCCCCACAGGTCGACCCTGCTTGTCGTCGGCGAAATTGTCAGCTCATCTGGGTGCTTATCTTCGTTGGGCAAATCATGGAACTGCCAGAGATAGGCTTATGTTTAATTTCTTTTAATTTAATAATTCTTAAAATAGGACTACATGATACCGGTGGGGTTTAACAACAATTAAATGTTATAAATGGGAGATAACACTACAAGAAAAATTAAATGGACAAGTTCACACTGCGTGCCTCGATATCCAGGGGCACATCTGGTCTACTTGTAGATTGACCGAGATGAGATTGACTCGGCACCAAAGTAAACATCAGTTGACTTGACAACCAGAGCAAAATTTCATGACAAAATTTTTTAAGTGTATGTTGTTGAACTAGAATAGTTGAATATACAGTATCGGATTATTAACGCGGTTAATGATACGTACGTTCCTACTTTTTATGCTTTGAGAGTAAAACCAACCATTTGTGGGAGTTTCATGGTGCTATACCATCTCCATGGTTAGGCTAGGTTTTTCAGAAAGGTAGGGCGAAGTTATTTGGCCAGGTAAGCAGTCGATAGCTATTTTCTCCTGGAATCAATGATTCTTCTGATGAGGGCAAGCTTATGGTCACAAGGTGGACGCTGTCCTGGTTTTACTGTTTGAAAATAAACAATTAACTTTAAATAGATCTTTTTTGACTGGTAATTGTATCTAACTACCAGTGTTAGTTCTGTACAATTTAATTTTATTTATTACTTATATTGTAACAATCATAAATGTTGTGTGGGGGCGGATCCAGGGGAAACCCCCCCCCCCCGAGTTGCACCAGTAGGGAAAGAGATTTCCCCCATAGAACAGACCAAGTGGTCCAAATCCATGATGAGGTCATCTGATCAAAAACTAGAAAAAAATAGTTTGCCAAATAACGTCATTTTGATTGCCAACCCTTAAGATTGTAGTCTAAAAACACAATTTGAACCATTCTAAGCCATAAAAAATCTCCCGAGAACTCAGGGATTTTTCATTCTCCGACCACAACTGAGGCTCTAATCAACCCTTTGGTTTGGACCCCTGTCGGAACCCTTGTCGGCAAATTTCTAGAGCCTCTGCTGGTTTTATCGCCGGAAATTTTTTTTTAAAAATCTTGAATCTTGCATTTGCTAGCTTGCAAAACCAAGCATAAATATTAGTGACTATAGCACATGAGAAGCCCATGCTCTTAGTATATTAACACTAATATCCAAGTATCTGGACGATCTTTACAATCGCATTTAATGCCTATCGGCAACACATGCCCTCACGCTTAACTAGAAGTCAGCTCATAATCCTCCGTCACAGCCGTTCATTTATCTCAAACAGGTGGTTCAATAAATTGTGAATAATATTTCTGTCTCTTATATCATCTGTCTCTTATACACATCTAGATGTGTATAAGAGACAGCCCATTTTGCTATTGAAGCCTAGTTTGAGATTTGATAGTAAACTATTTAATATGATCAGGCAAAATCTGCTGTCTTAAAAAACAAAATAACAAACAACTAACTGACAGAGGAGTTTCACATTGTGAGAGACCAACCGTCCATTAGCATTCCTGTGCTGAGGTATCAATTGACAGCAATATTGTGAACGTATGGAGAGAAATTTAAGTCGTTCTCTGGGAGAATCTAATTAATCTAAATGACCTGTGCTTTCAATCATGCTTCAATGATCACATGCAAGTTGAGTTCACTGGAGCACGCAAGAAGACTCGGTGATGCATGTAGGAGCAGAAAATCATGTAACATAGGCCTAGTACTTTTGTAATTCATTGATGATTGTTTTGTTTTCAGCTATATTGAAGGAGTTGATTGGAGCTGAGATGTGTGTCACATGAAAGCCTTTTGTTAGCAGGAAGTACAATTTTGATTTATACGTCATTCAAGTCAAGGAATATTTGATTGAGAAGGGAGTAGTTTTCAGGTATGTTTGTATAATATCAAACATCTAATTCTTATATTGTTGTTCTTTCTCCCTGGTTCCTTATTTACATATTATTATTTATCACTTTATTATACCTTGATTTAAGGCCTATATATGTATATATGTATACATATGCATATATAAATGTATTTTTCCAAGTTGATATTTTAATTAGTTCATTTAGGAAACTTTTATACTTTTATCTATTTTTTTTTCTTAAGAACTGAGATCATGCTGAGATTATAGGCCTATAGTCAGCTGATTAGGTCTTTTTATTTATCTTTTCATTTTGTTACCGACCCCATATAATCCACCTTTAATATTATGCGTATCATTAATGATTTATCTTAGTGACTGTTTTAATTCTTGTTTTCTAGATTGTAAAGTTTTTTAAGTGTACGTGTTATGTGGAAGAGCATAGGAGTGCTCAAAATATTCGAATTAAAATATTTTTATGTCTACTTTGTGTAATCATATTTATTTTGTATATTACACACTGTATATCATGTATTAATATAATGTGTATAGTATGGAACCAGGTGTCCAAAATTGATCTCCACTGTTGGATATACCAAGTACTAGTTGTTTTATGTTCAGTAATATTCGTTGCAGATAAGCTTACAGTAATGAATTTAAATAATTTACATTGCTGTAGTAGTATTTATCCATTTAATGCCTTTGGCGTTTGTAAACACAACAAGGTATTTGTACAATAAAACGCAGATTGCATGGTGCATTGCTGAAATAAGCTTTCTAGAGAATAAAATTCCCATAAATTCGCCTAGTATATATTATACCCCAGATTATAATTATTTATTTTTTATAATTTTTCTGTATGCATATTTTTATGGCTGAATAAATTAATAAATTAAATTAATAAATTAAATTAATAAAATATGAGAAATTCATGTTCTCAAAGACACAAAAATTGGTGTTGCTTTGGTGCAATGAGTCAGAAAATAAAAAAGGAATCAAAGATTCAAATTATGTAGGCCTAACCACATTCCGACTATATGTCCCAGGCCATTAACTGGGTACCACACGGTTTTCACTCAAGCAATAAATAACCATGTTATTGAGTGAGATACTTTATAACACTACTGCAGCCCCTTTGTGTTCAGAATTTAAACTCAATTCTGGTTAGACTAATCATGGAAAAATTCTGTGGGGAGTTCAGCGATGAGTACGCACACGCATGTACTCATGAAGATTTAACCATGTCACAGTTTTCGCTTTCGGAAACAACAGCCTGGTTATTCTTACGTTCACTGAGTTTAATGAAAATATGAATACATAAATTTTAAAAATGTTTCGAAATAGGGGATGCCTCAATCTTGTTTTAAAATCTGATTGTTCCTTAGTGTTTCTTCTAATTCTTGTTACAATTTTTTATTTTGTTTTATTCATTATATTTTTTTCAAGGATTTCTATTCTTTTTTCTACATTTTTCCTTTATATTTTTTTGTTCACTTTTTACTCCTTAAGGCAAGACTTTTTTTTTATAGCTTGTTTAGCGAACCTGGCACCTGCGAATAAGGATGATACCGAATAAAAATTACATGTTATTTTTGGCTAATTAGCATACCCGCCGCCACGAAAAATGGAAATTTGAGAAAAAAATAACAGTTTTTCTGTATTTTTATTAAACAGGCCTGCCTTAAAATCTCCAAAAAAATCTAAAAAATATGTATATTTCTTCCGATTATATAAAGTTATAGCATTTAACCATCTTATTACTGTTTACATTCACCAATAAAATTTTATTTTTATTTCTCCATCCGTCAGGATGTTTTTGGAAAAAATCCTTGCTAAATAAAAAAAAAAAAATTTTATTTTTATTTTTTTCCGCCCTCTGACAATCTTTAAAAGATTAAGTTTGCAAAACAAAGTATAAAGAAAGTCTTACCTAAAGTATCATGTATATTAACTGCACTAAAGGCCTGTTTATACTTCAACGATAATGATAACGATAAAAAAGCTATATGATGCTATATTAATTGGGTCAAAAGTGGAAAGCAACCCAGTTTAATCATGTAAAGTAAATACCAATTACTTTTATAATTGCCTTGGCTACTGTGTTTCTTGTATTTATATTCTAGAAGCATTAAATATAAATTGTTCATTTATATTTCAGATTTACTACGATGAGGAACATTAGTATATGTAGGATGTCCGTTTTCAACATTTAAAAATTTCATTGTCATCATCATAATATATAGCATAGTCATTATCTTCCTATCTTTTTAATTATCATCATCATCATCATAACCAAAATCAGTCTTATCGAGTCAACATTATTATTTACATTATCATCATAATCAACATTAATATTTTATTACTATTATTATCATCATCATCATCATCACCGTCAAAATCATCATCCTGTAATCCTCAACATTTTTATAATCAACATCATCATCATTATTATCATCAACATCTTTCTTATCCTCATTCTCTTTGCTAATGTCCTTTGAATGATTGATGTCGCTGCCACCATGTTGCTTCTTCTTCTCTTGATCTCTCACTACCTCATGGTCTTAGGAAATCGTAAGTTACCTTTCTTACCAGTCTTCTGTTGATATTATATAATGCAATATAGTAAATTATATACCAACCGTACTATAGTCTATATAGTTCAATTCTTTACACTGTTTTATTTTTGATACTGTAATAAATAGTAGAGGTAGCTATGTGTATCATGCAAAAATATCAAAAACCTGAATATACTGTAATATTCAATTTTTCATTTTAACTTTTACTAAGTCACATATTGAGAATATGAAGAATCAATTTTCGATAATCTATTAATTAATTATCCAGAATTATTATTATTATTATTATTATTATTATTATTATTATTATTATTATTATTATTATTATTATTATTATTATTATTATTATTATATTGATCTTTTATTCAGTAGAAAACATAAAATAATCCTCTCATGGCTTTGTGGCCAAATTACTATAAAACATAAACAAGGAAATCCAAGATTGGAATTGCATAAAAACAAGAAAAAGTGTGAAAGTAAAGGCAGTGTTCAGTATCATTTGTAAAATTTATTTCAGGGGTGGTTCACTGTCTTATGTCAACCGTGGAGGATTATGAGTTGAGGAGGTCAATGTAAAAAGGGATGAGGCTACATAGCAATTAAGCGCTTTTTTCGGTCATAATTTTTGTCCTTGACTTTATAGCACAGACCCTATCTTTTAGCATTTAAAGTGTCAACATCTGTGAACTTTTTAACCAACCCTTTGAAAAAAATATTATGGCAGAGAAACACATATAAAATAATTGTATTGATGAATAAAAGAAAATGTTAGGTTGTGAAGTAAAAGGCCAGCATCAATATTGTACACCATAAAACTACTGTAGGAATTTAGACGCTAAAAAGAATTACATAGTCAATTTTGAATTCTTCTTGTAACGTAATAACAATTTGATCTGAATAAATGATTCAAGCCAAGATTGAATAGATATGGTCCAGCAACAGACACATTCATAATTGTTGAATTAGTCCTTTTGAAGGCCATGCTAATTAGCTGATAATTATTTCAGTTCCACTTGAATGAGTTTGGTGTTCATCTGTCTGGCCATTTGGCTCTGTAGCTTGCCGTGTTACTTCTAGCCTTTTAATGTGTTTTTATTTTGAAGTTATTGGATTCAGGCTGTGAGAGTTGCCCACCCCGACAGGTGCGCTCTGTTGAGTTCATCTTAACATCACATCGAAGGCAACCTCCATGTTCATGTTGCTATAGCTACATTAATTAATTTATTCAATAGTATCATCCTGCTATTTCAAATGTGCTATCATTTAATTAATAATTCATTTATCAATGCATCCAATTTGTTTTATTTTAAAATAAAATTGTTCAGGGAATTATTTTGTCCCAAATTTGATTACATTTCAGTATGGCCAGTGGTATGACAAATAATAATATAACTGAATTTATTTATTTTAATATAATATATATTAATATAATATTGTTATGCAAATTCAATGTTGATGCGATGGTAAATGCTTGTGTAGGTTAGTACGACAGCTATTACTTAAATCAATTATTTGTTAAATCAACTTCTTTATTTATCATTTGCTCAGAGAACATAAATTTCATTTCTCCCTCTTACCCCCAGCCTGCATTGAAATAGCACAAACGACAAGTGAATCAAACAAAAACACGATCCAGTCACCTGGGTTTCCTCTAGTACGACCACCTGGACCTTACACCTGCACATATCACCTTAAGACTCACCTGGTTGATGGGCGTGTCTACTTGGTCTTTGATGACTTTTTGAGTATATGTAGTATTCATCAACTTGGATGTGATAATGATAAGGATTTTCTGAAGGTAATTCCCAAAAAACCCATAATTATTTTATGTGGGGAAGAGGATAATATTAATAATGATGAACAAATTTTTGTTATGTGCCAGTTTCAAAATAAATGATCAAATGCATGAAAGTGTACATAGAGCAAGATTTGAATAAAATATAAATAGAAAGTAAGAAGACAATGTAGATATAAACGTTTGAACAAAGTAGACTGGATTAAAATCAGGGGTGGATCCAGAATTTTTCAAACAGGGGTGGGGAGAGAGGGTTGGGATGGAGAGGGGTTGGGGTTTCAGAATAGATAAGTAGCACATAACATTGATATGCAATGAAATTTTAAAAATTTAGTGGCAAAACGTGGGTACCCTAATGGATCCATGCCTTGAAATAGATGAGTTTTAAAATTATGTTTAAATAAATCCAAGGAGGGTGAGTTTTTGACAGACAATAGTAAGTCCGACAGGGGATTTGAATTCATAGGCCCGAGCTGGGGAAGGGTTTTGAGAATGAGTTCCCCCTCCCAAATGAGATTTTTTTTAAAGAATAGGAACATCTAGATGGCCAGAAATGACACTCTCAGAGTGTGACGGACATGTGTTGGCTTGGCGTGGGCCTATTTTTATATTTTTGTTAGTTCGGCTGCCCGACGAGCTCTGGCGCCACCACTGGTTTCAAGGAATAAAGGCATGAACAAGTGTTTCTGTTAATGGGTGTAGGGGAAGAGTCGAGGATGCAGTTTGATTAACATGGCAAAATGAAAAGTAAAATAACGACTGTTATTGTGATTATTATATAATTGTTATTGATATTTTTGTTATTTTTATGATTTAAAGTACTGTTAGCTTGAATATTCCTGTTGGTGGACAATATTGTTATACTTACTGTTCATTGTTATTTGTATTGTTTCTGATGTTTTATTATTTTAAATATACCAGAAATTTAATTTATTTTTGTATTTCCCTAGGTATACGATGGTGCTAACTCAAGTTTTCAATTGTTAGAATCATTTAATTTTACAATGACAAAGAGACCACAGGCAATATTATCATCTGGAACGAGCTTGTACATTGAATACATTGTCTCATCAACATACGAAGCATACATATTCTCAGGATTCAAAGCGACTTACAGTTCTATTCCGTCCATTCCATTCAAATTGTCTCCACCACATACAAGCAGTAAGTAATAGGCATGTGTATTTACACCTGAGTTCTGCTTATAATACTTCCCAAGTTCAATATCCTTGCATGGAGGTCAAACGCGAGGTCACGCTAGTAAGGATACCTTGTTGATAGAATGTGATGTTTGGTTATAAATGTTATGTTATGATGTTACCAGCCTTTGGATATTTTTGTTAGGAGGTTTTCAAGTACTTGTTATCATGTATATCTGACTCTTGATAGCTAGGAGCTCCTTAATTAAAACTAGTACCCACCGGCATCGAGTTACCTAATTGATATTTACTGCAACTTAATCCGAGTCAGGATTGTGCTCTTCATTTGACAACTTGATTTACTATATTTAGTTGCTATCATCATCATCATCATTTTTATTATTGTTATGATTCCGATGGCATCAGGAGATTAGTAATAGGAATGATATACTGCCTGACATACAGTAATGTTATCATTCTCTTTGTTTTAATGTGTATTGCGCTCTGGTCTCTTTTGGAAGGGCGCCTAATAAATGATTGTTATTATTATTATAATTAGCCAACCAGGCTTAGTTAAGGAGTAGGATTGGCATGTTTGTTAGGATTAGATTAAGTATTACTTTCTCTGTCCATTTTTTTTTTTCATGTTTAAGTGAGACTTTTTTAATACCTTGTTTTACGAACTTATTTTTTTAAAGATTGTCAGAGGAGCGTGGAAAAAAGATAAAATTGTTTTATTATTTAGCAAATATTTTTGTGAAAAACATCCAGATGGATGAGAAAATAAAAATAAAATTTTATTTTGAATGTAATGGGATGGTTAAATGCTTTAAATTTATATTATTAGGGATAAATAGGCAACTCATATTTCCGGAGATTTTAAGGCAGTGGCGGGCTTAATAAAAATAAAGGAAAACTTTTTTTTCTGAAATTTCCATTTTTATGTAGTGGTGAGTGTGCTAATTAGCCAAAAATAAAGTTGTATTTTTATTCGAAATCATAATTTTTGGTGGGCGGTGAGGTATAACAAAAATCTCATTTTATTATATGGTAATTGTAGATATGAATTGTTTTTGTGATATTGTCATATTTTTGAAAACATGTTTCTATATGCTTACTGTACCTGTTTTCTTCTTTTCAAGTTCAAACATTCAGATATTTTGAAAATGGAAATGGACTGATCCACTTTCCAGTAGGGGGTTATGAAGGAGAAATTGATGTGCTTTGGTTATTCAAAGCAGGGCAGATCAATAGCGCAATGCAGATTTACCTGTACATACAGTTCAACCTAAGTATGCATTTCATAATAATCTATTTGGTTGTTGTTGATCACATTTAAATATAAAATATCATGTTTTTCTTCCCCTCTCTCGTACTTCTTTTACAAAAATACCCAGAACGAGACAGCAAAACTCGGGCGAATATAAAGTGGAAGGCTAAGGCCCTATAAAAAAAATTCTTAGTTTATCACCCTATCGAGACTAGAAAAGTGATGAGGTAGGGAGGCTTTTTATTTTGATTTTTGATTTTGCTAAAGCCTAATATCACCCTGGGTTATTTGCTGTTTCATTGATATTCAAAGTAAAATACATGATTGAGATAATACAAACAATATCTACTAACTATTTACTAAAAATATGGAAAAAAAAATAAATTTTAATATTTTTTTCAATGCCATAGAAGACATGCGGGGGAGGGTGGTAAACTAATCGTTTTTTTTTCATTGGCCCTAATGCATCCTTTATAGGCCTATCAAATGTCTTATAATAACAAGATAGCACTCTCTTTTACATGTTACAAAATAGAATTATCCATGTGCTACCCTGGTTGTTGCATAATTTAAATTTGCACGAAGATCATATATGTCAAAGTTGAAAAGTAATTGTAATTGTGAGAGGATGCCCTACACTGCTTTATAGGATTTGCATGTAGAAATTGCGGAGAGCACTATCTTGTTATAGTAAGATCATTGAGGTCTGTACACGTAGAAATCCAGAATTATTATTATTATTATTATTCTGGTAATATTGTGTGCTTTCAAAATCAGATTTGCCTTATATACCGTACTCTTTGATAGGTGACTATGTGCAAGAATTTGACTAAGGCCACCATAGAAAACAATGGGTTCTTCTCCTCCTTTTCTTATAAAATCCCTGTAAAAATGAACATTTAATTTTCATGTTTCCTTTTCATGATTTGAAAAAAATAATTTTAAAATTATAGGTTCAGTTGATTTGAGTAGCTTGCTGCACTTGGAAGTCCTCGATGGCATCTCATCCAGATCCCCGGTCCTTCTCAATCTCAGCCTGCCTGGTGGAGGTCTTGAGCGTGACATAAGCCTTTACTCTTCTAAGGACAGCCTCTATATGCGTCTGCGTTCCGATTCTTTGAAAACATGGCTGGATGCATTAGACGTTGTATTTTCATTTTTTGTAAAAAGTGGTGAGTAGTGTTGCATCATGAGATTTTGTATCATCCTTAATTAGTATAATCATAAGCAGTGCACAGAAATGTGTTTATTATAGTGCAAATGTTTTCACGTGAAAGTAAAATATTGTGTGGAATTGGTGAATATTTATATTGCAACATGCCATTTGGATGTCATTCTAGAACATGCTGCAATTTTAAATGGAAATCTGTTTTTTTATCATTTTCAAAGATGTGAAAGATTCCCATTGATCATGGGATTCAGTAAATTCTATCAACAGGTGAATATGCATAATGCCTTATATGAATATGCATAATGCCTTATACATTATAAAACTCATGAAGTAGAGTGTTTTGTTGGTCATGAGAAAAATCCTGACATTAAATTTGTGCCCAGAATCTATGGTTTGGAAGGCAAGCACCCTGACCACCATGTTACAACTCTATTAGTATGATGATCATGATGATAGCAGTGATTATGATGCATCTATGACAAAATGTAATGGTAATAATAATTATTATGCTAAAAACTATGATGATGATTATAATAATAATAATGAAAGTGATGGATATTAAATTGTAAGACAAATTGCATAATACTGTAAAACCTTGAATTGAAGCCCAGGGGGCTTTATCTCGAGATAAAGCCCATCTCGAATTGAAGCCCCCTCTTTAGTTTGCAAAAGTAGCCTCAAAAAGAAGCCCATGGGCTTCTTCTCAAGATAGCTTAGGCTATTTTTTTGAGATAGTACAGTACATACACTGTGCATGAATTTCAGAAAACAAAATAAATTAAAAACAAGGCTTGGTTTATAATACATTAGTTTAGGTGATTTATGCCAGTTAAATACACTCCATAATACATATTGATGTTACATTGACCATATTTTTTGTTTAATTGTACAAATTCACAAAATTTACAGCATTCATTTTGAAAGAGCCCCCTCTTTATACTTAGCAAAAGTAGCCTTGAAAAAAGCCTATCTCAAAAAGAAAGCCCATCTAAAGCTCGCAAATTACGGTATGATTATAATAAAGTAAAAGTAGACAGAGGCGTAGGTAGAGGTTTTTCTGTGTAAATGCTTGTGATAGTGTTAATTTGTTCCCTTTAGATACCAGAGACTGTAAGGATTTTGAATGTGATAATGGGTGGTGTATCTCAAGCAGCTTATTATGTGATGGATACAACCACTGTGCTGATGGCTCTGATGAAAAGTATTGTGATTGTAAGTGTTAATGAAATAATAATTATTAAACTTAAGTATATGATAAAACTCTAGAGTGACAATCAAACTTTACAACTAAAAAATCAGAATGCAGCGGCAGATTGGAAGTGGTTTGGCGCAGCGGGAACGGTTTGGTTTCCTAACCTCGAGGTCGGAGTTTCAATTCCTTGCTGCGCATTTCGCCTGTGTCCTTGAGCAAGGCACTTTATCCGCATTGTTTTTCTCCACCCAGGAGTATAAGTGGATACCTGGTGGGGTTAAATACCAAAATGTGCTGATGTAGCTACTGGGATGTGTTACTGGCGGAGGCAGAGTGTGCTCAGCTTAAATGAACTTAAGGACACATTCAACACATCTTAAGAAAGCTACTGTACTCGCAGTAAAAACAGTTTTATGTGGTTTTGTTTTACCAGATGGATGCCAAGATTTTGAATGTGCCAATGGGGGTACCTGTCAATCGACGATTGGGGGTGAATTTTATTGTGACTGTGCCCCTGGCTTCATTGGTCCTAGATGTAAGAAGACATATAACGGTTAGTTCAAAAAATGAAACTTTTGAAAAAATGGAAAATGTTTAATATTCAAATTTAGTTACTGCCCATAAAAAATTGTTTATTTATCATCTATAGGATATTACTATACCTCATAAATGTCAGTAAGGTAATAACAACATTTGATTGGTCAATTCCACTAGTTGTTTGTAGAATACAACACAAGAAATTTGAATTATATATAAGGTATATAGTAGTCCATGGTCATTAGCACCTAATTCTGTACTGGCAATCTAATTCTCTGCTGAATGCTATATAAATACATTAATATTGATCATAATGTAATAGCAATATTTATATTTCATAAATGCTTTTCCTGATATGCAACAGGTAAAATATATGATATGTGGATGTGCATTACTCTTACTCTTCTAGGCTGCCATGATTTGTTCTGTGCTAATGGAGGGACATGTAAAGACACGATCTATATTACACCTGTCTCTTATACACATCTAGATGTGTATAAGAGACAGGTTTACATCTGACTGTCTCCAAAATCTTTTAAGACTCAAAGATAATTTCTCTGGATATAAATTTTTTCATATTCAATAAAGCACCACTTAATGCAACATCGATGATTGTCATCTTAAATATTCATTGATAAGTCATTTTGAAACTGTAATATGTTAAGTAGACATAGTTTCAATAAAATGTATACACAGACTCTAATGTGCTTCATTTGTTCGACAAGGGTCTAACAAACTTTTAAAGAGGTCACTAGGGATGTCAATGTAAAATCTCTGTTGGAGGGATGGGGGAGAGCCTTACCCCTTGCTTCGAAATTTCTGTCTATTTTTAAGCATTTTAGTATGGATTATTCATCAAGAATTTAAAAATATGCAATTTTTCTTGTTAACCGATAGAGTTAGGCCCGAAGAAAGTCATTTGATTGTGCCTATATTGAAGTATACACACACAGCACTAATTTTACATTATGTTCAGGGATGCCATTCTAACTGATTGTGTGTGCCCATTAATATTAAGGAATGTTAGCTCATTTACATATGTCTTCTTACGTCATACATTGCAAACATTAAATGAAGTTGAAAAGCTTGCTGGTAAAGGTGCTTGCTTTCCAATCCCATGGTCCTGGGTTCAATTCCTGTCACGGTAACAGAATTTTTTCTCACGATCTAAACATCTCTGCTCCCTAAACCTCATATGAGACTTGGTCTAAAGGAAAGCATGATGTTTTATGTTTGTCATGTGAAGCAGTGGCAGATCTAGAGGAGTGAATAGAGTGGCTAGCTATCCCCCTTCATTTACCATAAAAAAAAAAAAGAAGATAATGGTCATACTCGTCTTGTGTGTCTGCTTCTCATGTACTCTTGTAAACATACACTTTCTATTCTAAGCTTACTTCTTTTGAGATGCCATCTAAGATTGTCTAATAGTCTACTAATTCCAAAAAAAAGAAATCTCAAATGGGAAGGGACGGTCTTTCTCACCTCTCATTATCCACCCCATTGCTAAATCCTAGATCCGCCACTGTGAAGGGATTGCCACCTATCTAATAGGACAGTGATTAAGTCGCTATTGGTAATCTTTGGCCATGTGCCTAAAGGAATAATATTTTAAAATTTAAAATATAAAACTCACTATTGAGTAAAAATGGTTTGATAATTTTTAGAGGATTCAGTGACGACGAGAGAATGCCCCCAGAACTACTGCTTTAATGGAGGAACCTGTCATCACTCTTCAGATGGCTACTTCTGCTCATGTCCGCCTCTCTTCTATGGGGAATTCTGCACCGAAAGTGGAGTCGAAGGTGAGTCACACAGGGGTTTATTCAAAGGGAAGGGGTGGGGGACGAGCCAGCCTGGGCCCACCTGATTTTACAAAATTATAAAAAGAATGGAGAAAAAAGGAAAATTATAATCAAATTTAGGTCTGAGAGTGCCATTTCCGGCCACCTAGAGGTGCCATCATAAATGTTTTTACCTCAGCCCCAACCATGGTGGGGCTGAGGTAAATACAGTATATCCAAGCAAGGAGGTATAAGGGGATCCAAGTAGTATCTTCAACCTCAGATTAACAAAAATCAACTTGAAATATTAGAGAATAATGCCACTACTGATAACAATTAGCATATAACTACTGCCCCCCTTGATTGGCACCATTAGAATAGCCATTCTAATAAAAGATAGCATTCTAATCGATTTCTGCTTGCAAAATCTGTAATAACACAGTGTAGGACGCCCTCTTGCAATTACAATTACTTTTGAACTTTTAAATCTATGATCTCAGTACAAAGTCTGGAACAACCGCCATAGTATCAACTAGGACACCCTCTCTCAGTTACAATTACTTTCTATTGTTTTCTGTGTGAATTGGACACTTCTATTTGTTACACGCAAACCGCGGAGAACGCTATCTTGTTATTATAAGATCTTTGGTTTCACAGACTTGGTATTTGCTTTTCCATAAAATGAGTCATTCGTATTTAAACATATATTACCATATTGATCATTGTTTGTATTTTTGTGCAGGGACTGGTTATATTAAAGTTTCCAGCAGCAAGACGCAGTACCTCCTTATGCTCATCCTACCGATAACTCTTCTTATTGCAGTTTATATGGTCTACAAATTCAAAAAAAAATGTAAGTCTCACTTCCCATTATTGGTAGAATTTCAACAAGGAAATATGCTATTAATGACATAGCAAGCAGATTTTGATGACCATCATTTACTTACAAAATAGATGAATTCTAGAATAAAAAAACAATCTCGATAATTATAAAATTTATCACAGCACAATATTGGTGAAACAAACTTTTAACCTGTCAGACCACGTCTGCCACTGCTGCGTCACCAGCATTAAAATTAATTTCTGAAAACCAGGCCTGGAAAAAAAATGTTTGTGCCTCCAACCATGAAAACTGTCACCAAATGTTATCTGTACACTATATAGACCAACAGTTTATTTTAAACAAATTTTTTCCCCAAAAGTGCCTCTGTCAATCTCAGTGTTGTGCACTTTTTCCAGCCCTGCTGAAAAGCGTCAAAATAATAAGCATGTTCTGTTCTCTGCAGCATGGCCAGGGAATTATCCCAACCAGAGTGGGAACCGTAGGCACCAATTTTACCATGACCGTCCACCATCCTACGAACAAGCAATGGTCAGACCAATTTCACGGAATTGGTCACAGGAGGTCGAGATGATGGAGACCAGATACCAGGAGCCACCTCCTAAGTATGAAGATGTTGTAATTTTCACGGAAACAAATGGTACCACTAGAGATCGTCAAATACAAAGCCTGGAGAATGGATGCGTGCAGAACCAGCAGCAATCAAGGACGAATAGCACACAGAAAGTCACATGATGATGAACCTAACAGACTACTAAGCACACAATCTAAGTGGTGCATGTGCATGAATGATAGATGGTTGTATATTTTTATAGAAAAATTAACCTTGCAAAACTGAAGGTGTTCAAGCCAAAATACAATCAATCAACAAGAATTTATATTGCACCAATATCTATGGCAGAATACAATGTTCAGTGTCACTATGACAGCACCAATATCTATGGCAGAATACAATGTTCAGTGTCACTATGACAGTGACATTACTCAAAGTGCACATTAACTATAAGGGTGAAACTAAGCATCAATTAAGGATATATGTGAATTGTGCATGTAGAGTATTTGGAATTGAGGTTCGCCTCGAACGCACAAGTGTTTTGTAAAGCATACTTGGCTTGTGCTTGCACAGTATGTGGAAAAGAGCTGACCTCGCATGGACTGAGGATGTAGATGGACACAATGGTGCAATTAATCATCTTCCAAGCATATCTGTTAAGGTTGTGCAAACGGTATGTGAAAATGAATGAACTTGTCTTGCACAGACTATTAGAACATAATGTGCAAAAACTCACATGATGGTGGAACTATTTGCTAAGTATATGATGCTAAGTTTATATGGTTGATGGATGTACCGTATATGGAAGTATGCTTGTCTTGATTTAAAATGGATAAGAACACACAATAGATAAATAAATAAATAATCTTCTGAAAGGTTGTGTATTAAACTGTATGTGAAAATGAATTATACAATGCACAGAGTGTGCAAAAACTTACATGATGGTGGAACTATGTCAATATGATGCTAAGTGTATATGGTTGATGTATATGAAAATTAGCTTTGTCTATATTTAGTTAATTAATACAGTGACAGATGCATGATTGTTTTGCCAGGTTGTGGAGGTCTCTTATACACATCTGTGCGTTCAAGAGTAGAAATTGATGCTCTACGGTCTGAGAGGAGGCAGGTCGAGAGTAGAAATTGATGCTCTACGGTCTGAGAGGAGGCAGGTCGTATGGTCAAAGTGGGGTGGGTTTGGGTGTTCTTGTACCTATTCTGGGTAAAAGGAACTGTGCCCACTGGCAAGTTTGGAATGTTAGCCATTTGGTTAGAGTATTTTTAGGCTGCTGCTGGGGTGGGATGAGTACCCCTACGCCCCTCCCCTTGGATCTGCCACTCTGAAGTATTAATGCATTGAATATGCACCTAGAGAAATTGAAGAAGCAATAGCCAGGGGTGGATCCAGAATTTTTCAAATGGGGTGGGGAGGCACAACATGTTCAGAATAGATAAGTGAGTCATGCTTATTTCAAGTCATATCATTGATATGCATTGAGAGTGGCAAAATGGGGGTGTGCCCTGTTCCCTTTTTATTGGATCTGCGCCTGGCAATAGCAACTTTATTTCAACCGATAAAGATGTTAAATTTGGATACAAACATATAGGGCTTGACAATTATGATTTGGTTGATGTATCAACTAAACAATGAGACCAAATTGGTCGCAGAAGACTTTAAGCGTGTATAAAGAAGTGTACAAACTTCACCAGGTAGATTGGTTTGTAGAAACACTGTCTTGTATATAATTAATTAAAATAATTTCTAAAGAACTGTTAATCATGGTTTTAGAAGTTAAAAAAAGTTTTCTATAAATAAAACGAAAATAACGTACTCGCGCGAATAAGCCCCCCGTTTGAATAGCGCCCCTCTCGAATAAGCACCCCTAGTGTGAATATTTGCTTAAGCGCCCCGTTTGAATATGCGCCCCCTCTATGTTTATTCATTTTATTTGAAACAATATCATGTGATTTTTTTTTAGCAAGCCAATAATCCAATCAATCCCGGGACTCTGGTTGGCATGATTTGATCTGTGGAATGGATTCACATATTCGTATAAAATCATTCTTTATTATGTCACTTCAAAATGAGGATATTTTCTCCTGGAGATGAGACCGTATCTTTCCAACTTTCCTCTTCTAACATTTTTCTCTTCATTTTTCTTTTTTCCCCCGACAATTTGCAACTTTTAGCATGTTGCAATTTTGCAAGAAGCCCTGCAATAATCCTACTAATTATCACAATCGGCAGATGGTTAACAAACATGCACACCACCACCACCACCACCCACTAATTTCATCTGCTGTTGAATCTGGCATTCTTCTCAGGAGCCTTGCTCTCTGCACGATTTCTTTTCTGCACCAGAACCATTCGTAATATTCGGTTTCCATGTGCCCTTATACATCTTTTTTTCCTTCAAATGCCCACTGAATTTTCAAAGCTTTCATAAGAACCCCCAATATTCATATATTTCCATAAGCGCCCCTCAATCTCCACTCTGTTTTCATAAGCGCCCGTTTAAATAAGTGCCCCGTTTGAATAAGCACCCTTCAAAGAGTGCAAAAACATATTTTTAAGCGCCTGGGCGCTTATTTACGCGAGTACGGTACAATTAAACACATAATAAAATCAAAACACATTGATAAAACAAAACAAAACAAAAAACATTATAAAAATATAAGAAAAGAGAAACTACCCTTCCCCTATCACTATTTATGGTGCAATTGGAATTATAAAAACGAAAATACAAAAGTTGATTAGAAAAATATACAGCAAAATATAGAACAAGATGACTAAAATGGATGTTGTTGCTTAAAGGTTCCATAAACGACAATGTAACGACGTGAGTGTTTTCCTGGCCCTGTTTTGATTGGCAAGTTACCGTAAGTTTCATTATTAACACCCCTGAAATGTCCCTTTAAAAAGTAATTGCCTTTTCACTGAAGTCATCTCCCACAATTGTTTGATGAAGATTGATGATAACTAATATTTGAGAAAAACGTATGTCCCTATCGAGATTCGAACCCAAGACATTCCGATTACCGTTCTGATAATTTACCACCTGAGCTCAGTGAGGCCAAGTGGTATACATCCTTGGATATTCCCATTAATACACGATTTTTCTTAATGTATTGCTTAATACTCAATGAATAATAATATAGAATGATATAATTGTAAATGACATTTATTTAGAGTGCAATAATATTGTAATAGTGTATACAGATGCTCTTGATGTTCCTTTTTATTATGACGTTAATAAATGATTTTAATTATTTGCAAGTGATGAGTTATATTTGTAAATTTAGTTACGTAAGGCGCACGATAAAAATATCAATACAATAGTATCATCAATACTATAGCATTCATTAAATCAATAATTAACTATCAAGATACTTATAATCGAATATGAGAATTTTTTATGGAAATGTATAGCACCACCTACAATTAATTATGCCAGTTCTGTCTGCTAAACTGCAAAACTGCATTAGATGAGATTGAGAATTTTCAATATTTTATGGCAAAGATTATTTTGAAATGCCCAAGATATGTTGCCAAAAAGGCTTTTTACGGTGAATTAGGATAGGAATCGTTATCATCACAACAAAATAATATTAAGGCCAATGCCGTAGCCAAGATTTTCGAACAGAGTGCGGGACAATATCAGGGTGAACCCACTTTACACGTAAATTTAAACAATGTGGACCTATTTTACGCAAAAATGTGAACAATCTGAACCAATTTTTTAATGTTATCCATTTTAAGATAAATATGAGAAATCTGGACCCATTTTTCAAATTGTGGGCCCGTTTTATGCATAAAATTACATAATTTGGAGCCGTTTTTAAAAATGTGGACCCATTCTTTGTGGACCCATTAGAAAAATTGTGTGGGACTGTCCCAACTGTCCAAACAGCTGGCTACGGCATTAATTAAGGCAGAGTATCTTAACCGCTTAAAAACTATGACTGATGACAGGTAATGGCCAAGATTAATTTTTAAGGCAATTATGAATAATGAAGATAAACTAAAAATGGTGTTGGCTCTCACATTTAAAATCATACTAAAGAAAAATAGCCTGGAGGCCTTTTATAGTTGAGAACCAGCTAAAGGTTGAGAACCAGCTAAAATTAACCACAAAAATAACGAAGACAAAGATTGGCTTATCAGAGCCCAACAAAAATCTACACTTCAAAACTATATAATGTATAAAGGAGCCCCTAAATTTGAACCATATCTTTTAGATAAATTATAGATTTTTAAAAATACGCTCTAACTGCCTTGAACTGAAAGTTAGAAAATAATCTTGGTCAACTAACAACAACGGATTTTGTAAAATCGTGTAAAGAAAATAAAAAAGAAACAGTAGACCACCTTTATTTGATTGTAAAGTACTTGATGAAATTAGAGTTAAACCATTTAAAGAAATTTAAAATCAATTGTATGATAATGACTTAAAAATAATTGGACTAATACTAATGGTTTCATTTATTTTAAAAGGCACTTCATTTTAGATAATATAAATGATGATAACTTAATTTTAGGACAAATTGTAGTAAAGAATTGTAAACAATATTTAACAAATACATGGCGACTTTGGTCCGAATTTTATACCACGTAATAATACCATTAGTATACTTATTTGTAAATATTAAGACTAACCTCAAGTTAACGGTAGGCCTACAGTAATGTTTAATCACCCCCATAGCTTAAACTTCTTTCAGTTGTAGGCCTACCGTATTTACAGTATTTAAATATGTATATCTTGTTGTATTTATTTACATTCGCTATGTATTTTTAGTTGTTTAATTTTAAAGTCTAATTAAGGTCCCTTCATAAGACAATCACAAGGGATCCTTCGTTGTTTGTTACCTTATGAAACATTAGTTAAGAATTATGTATACTGTATGTATGTGTATGTGTGTGATATGTAGGCCCTGTCTCTTATACACATCTAGATGTGTATAAGAGACAGTATATATATATATATACATTTTGCTATCTTTCTAATGCATTAAGTTCTTTTTTTTATTCGAATTTTATTAGTGTATTTGACTTAGTTAAGATTTATATAAATATCAAATATCATTCATCGACACCCTCCCGGCCCATCCCACATAGCCTCCTTATAACTCGGAATTGGGAATACTCTGTCGTTTTACTGTACCCCAAGCCTACCAACTTTCTGTACTATGTCATGTTTTTTCCCCGAATATATGTACCAGTCGGTTACGCTAATGTAGAAAAGCATGCACCTAACTTAATATAGTTTCTTTGAAAAGGTAAGCAACTTAGTCTCCAGTAAGAGCGTGGGAACTTTAGCTGGAATTTAGATCCCAACTCCTGTAACTTGACTATTACTGTATATCGCTATGCTACATTGCGGTTCTGCGTCGAGTGACGAGTTTTATTTTTGAATCCCAGTGTTGTGTGACGCGTTGGAAAACGTGTGTTGGAATTAACAATAAAAACATTATATATGGACAAAATAAAGCTAGAAATAAGAACGAAAACAGACTACAGAATATACTTAACTACATAATGTGTTAATAAACTACAGTTCGAGGGCTTCCGCACTAACGTTCCCTGCATGCTGCCAATTGCGTTACAGATATGACGAGACACCGACGCATTCTATTCCAAAACGCGACAAAACATTGAAAGAAAGTGAAGCAGTAACCAGTGTCGCGAGTGGTCTTGTTGAAAAAGATAAACGCTAATTTTTATATTACATAAGGAAGTACTGATCTTGAAATCTCGCATATCTCTTTCAAGAATATGGTGTGACTAATAATTGACGGTAGGCACGTTCAGAAATGAGCGCCAAAATAAGCTATGTAGGCATATTAGGTCATAGAGACTCTAGGCCTAGGTAGGAAAGTTTGGTTTGGTTAAATTCGATTTGCGGATTGTCCGATTGGGGCGACAGAGGGAGCACCATTTTCAGAGACCGGATGCGAAATTATTGGGCCTAAATTAGCTGCGTCATCCTTATGCAATCGACACTTACACTTACGGTTATAGACTGAGCCTTTTAAACCACTTATCGTGCCAATGTCTATCTAACTCCTTTTTAAACAGTGAAATCCATTAATTTATTCATTCTTTTTATTGTTTTAATTTTATTTATTTAATTTATTTATTTAGGCCTAGGCACACAATACATGAGCCAAGGCAAGGATTGTCAACAGCGAATACTGTATATCACTATCCTACTTGTAGGTGACAATCCCTCACACAAGACAAACATACACACACGATGCTTTACACAAACTAAATCTCCATATGAGATTTAGGGAGTGAAGTTGTTAATGACTTAACTTACTATTTCCTTTTCCCGAAATTTACAGTTCGTAAACAAGTTTAAGGGTCAATCATTACGAATATAGGCCTAGGTAGTAGGCCTAATAATATAGAATCAATTAGGCTAGGCATAGGCCCGTTCTAGTGACATTTTTATTGAGAAAAATAAATACATACCCTAGGCCAAGCTTAGGCCCCTACGTCTTGTTAAACTTTGTAAGTTTATACAGTAACAGAAATTGTATGTTTTTTTAAATAAAATTTTTGAAGTAAAGTTTGAATATATATAGCTAGACCTAACCTATACCCTAGGCCTTAAAAACTAGAAAAAAAGGAGTGACAAATAATCCAGTTTCTACTGTACTATCAATAAATGACAGAATTATTACTTCATCTACAGCGGTGGGCTACGTGAAGAACAAGATCACAAAGGCCGTCAAAGGTTCTGGTTCCGATGAGAAGGAAAAAACCACCTCATCGTCCAGCTGTGTCCTAAAAGGCAGCAGTAAGTAAAATTTTAATACAATTTTCTTGTTGGAAAAATATAATCATGTGTGCTTTTTATGTTTCTGGTGATTAACCTGTGATTTTATGAAACACTTTTAAATATTTTATATAATGTTAAAATTCAGTGGAACAAATAAATGAATTGTTTTATTAATATACTGATTTTTTTTCTTTATTCAAAAGGCAAGAACACTGGTCAATGTGAATCTATGAATTCTACGCCACCGCTAACAAGCATGTCAGCTGGTCCAGTGGAGCCCTCTGCTCCACCAGCATACGATTCCATATACAATTAAAGCTTGGTCTGCACTGTCAAATGTTATGTTAGAAATACTATGTTGCCTATGTTGGCAGAGACAACTAGATTTTTCTGACGGTGGTGCGATATGACATCACCATGCCCATGTATGAGCGAATCACATATATTTCCATAACATTTGCTTTCAACCTAGCTTTCAGTACACCTTGAAATCTAGTTTACCAAACTTTACTGCAGAAAAAAAATTTCAAGAAAGGATTTTATCTTTGTTATACATTATTTATAGATTGTTTTAATGATTATATCACAACATCAGGGTAGATTATGTTATAAGGATTCTTCAGGGATTTGAAAAGTTTACATAATTTTATAATCAATTTTGTTTAATCTTTGCATAAATTATATAAATGTTGCATAAATTGTTAAAACCCTTTCTTTAAGTTTCCTCTTACTTTGGAATTAATTTCAGTTTATCTGTAATGAAATATATGATAGTTAGGTTTTAAACTCACCAAAGGTGAACAAACTTTGCTTGATGACTTTTTCAAAGAAAAACTGAACTTGATTTAATCTGGAAGATTCTGTAGCTTGTAACTGTTTATATTGGTGATGTAAAAAATGATTGAGATTATGTATTAATAGGTATATAAATAGATATATAGCTGTCTCTTATACACATATACCATATGCGAGGTGTTGTGACAACAAAATGAGTTATGTTGTATGCCTGGTTAATTTGGCATATTCAAGAAAATAAGTATGAAGCCATGTTTTCGCCAACATGGATTTTTAGAGTTTCTGATACGTTTAATGCTTACATGATAACAAATGTTTTTAATTGATTTATATTAAATGTGTTTTGAGAAAGTGTTAAAAGTGTTTTGAGACATGTTTTTCATAAGTATGTTTTTCAGAATTACTATGAATAACAAGAAAGTTATCAGTTGTTTTTCTTTAGAGACGATTTAATATGTTTTAGACTTATGAATTACTGTATGTCTTATTATGTGATCTATCAGAATACAGTATATCAATGACACTTTTTCATTCATATTTCATTTTGTGATGACACCTCTCATTATATTTTAATAAATTTGTTTGATCTATGGAATGGATTTAATAAAATTATTAGAAAATGGACATTCTGTAATATCATTTACTGTAATTATGTCTGTGTGTGTTGTATATCAGGGCTATTCTAATTTCAATTTAAACATTTTCAAACCATACCGTATATGGATCCCAATTCTCCCTCGAGAAAGCAGAAATCTCAAAATCAACATAAATACTGTCTTGGAAGTCAAGTGGAAAGAGGGTGTGCTAGCATAGCATAAAGCATATGAAGCAATAGTTATAACTATTTTAGTGTTTATCCCTGTCGTTCCCCCTTTAACCATAATTAGTAACAAATATTAGATTTGGTTTAACACAGCATTCCTTTAAAGATGTAATGTCCTCACTCTCCTCCATAAACAGAAAATCATGACAAATGATACAAATAATTATTGTAAATTTCTTATTTGAATTATCCAATCCAAACAGGTCATTTATAAAGCGCCTTCTTTGCAAATGTGAAGCGCTTCACCCACATACCTCACAACCCACAGGCAGTCATGATCATTGCCTAACGCAAGCATAGAACAAGTAAACAAAATCAAAAGAAGCAATGGCAAAGTTCAGAATCATAAATAAATGATGCAGCAACAATAAATGAAATAAAAATAAAAAGAATCAAATACATATCAGCAATAAGTCATAATCATAGATACAAACAGAACAATCCAAATTAATTCACAGACGTTTTTACTACGAAAATTATATAAGATTATATGAACGTTAACTGATAAACATTTTTTTTTTCGGTAAAAACCTAATAACGTACTGCAATATGAAAATAAAGCAATTCATTTTAGTTTAATTTTTAAGATTATGGTATTAAATTTAGGTGATGCAGCATATGATTTTTCAATATATAGGGCTACTAATCATAGAAGGAGGTTGTATTTAGATATGCTGTAGATCACTACGTTTAAGTATAAGTATAATATAATATACTATAGAAAATGCATTCAACACCATGATGCCAAACACTGGACCTCGATATATAAACATTCATATTTCATTAATGTCTGAATATCAAAGAATTCAACAATGAAAATAAAAACAACTTCAAAACAAAAGTTTTATATACCTATATAATATGAAAGTGTAGTACCTACGTGAATTTTTTTTTGACGCGCCGCGTCTTTATTTATATATCTTTTTTTCTGGCGATGTTCAAATAAATTATCTAGCTAGAGAATTCTACGATGTACATCAAAGTTGGCAAATGTACGACATTAAGTTGTTAAAGCTCTCGACTCAACAGTATTATAATTAGTCGTTGTTGTTTATGTTGTTGAAATTTCATACCGTCATGACCTTAACACCGTGCAGTACTGTACCTTATGTATTAAGAATTTGATATTGCGCCCTCTAGTTCCTTAGCAATATATTTGCATAATACAGTGTACATGGAGTTCGAATACCACGGACGACTTCCGATAAACTTTTCAGTATTATCAGATAACCACCTCGAAGATTTAACAAAAAAGAAAGCATGGTAGTGTGATGGGGCGATTGGTCTAAAATCAACATAAAGACTACTTTTCATCAGTTGTGACCAAATGTGGAATATCATTAGTTGAACGGCTTTTTTTGATTTAAAATTTATATCCGCTTGTTGTGTGGGGGTTGTTTGGCCCTGTGATGGTTTGTTGGAAGTGGGTGTTTACTCAGTCAGTGCCTGTGTGTACTTACCGTCCTGCTGCAGACTATGTAGGCCTAAGTTACCTGGTTACAGACGATCTGTAGGCCTACCTACGCAAAATGTCAAATCATACACAACAGGAGGTGAGTATCAATATTGATAAGAAAAAAAATTCTTAAAAAATATATATATATAGAATTAAGAAACAAAATCGAGGCATTGACTTATAATATAATTATGATTTATTGATTTAGATGTTCATGTTATAGTTTATTTTAGTAATTAATAGATTAGGGCTTTCTACTACGAACTCCAAAGAGGTTAACACGTTTACTGGAAGACCTCTTTTTAGGTTTATTCACGTGTGCCAAAACAAGTTTATTTACAAACATACTTTTTTTGAAATTTTATCTAGTCATATATCATCGAAATGATGTGTCTAATAAAGTGGCTGGAAAATATTAGGGGGCGAGTATACTGCTGTGATAGTAGCACTTTTTACTTACTATGCCAAGTGCAAGTTATCTAGTCCGCATTTTGCATGGTTTGGTATATGTTCAAAGGGCGCCCACACTTGTGCCGATTGAGTGTACTACCGGCAACATAACACAACAAGCATACATGCGTCATTTGTACGTTATGGTCTAGGTGGATCTTCCCCGAACTACCAGCCGTTGAGTCTGTGGTTCTACAAAGTATAGCAAAGAAGTTATAAACGCTAAAATGTTACCCCGATTTTGAGGAGTATACTCGTCCCTGGCACCCTTCGCAACACCTTGTGAGTGAGTATACTCGTCGCTGGCAGCCAACGTGTTAACAGTTAATTACTGAATTCAAATTTAGAGATAATTGAACATAATATTGAGGTGTCGTCAGTTTGCATAATTATGATACCCGGAGTTGTTAGCTTACAGTACTTGTTTAATTTAATCTGTTCTTGGCTTAATTGAAAGATATTAGATCTGGTTAAGTGTGAAGCTCTGATCTCTAATCACTTTCTATGTTAATGCAAAGGGGTATTATATGAGTACCTCCCTTGGTGAATGCACTTTTAAGTATCTTTTTCTTTTGAGTTTGGTGTATACGATAATTGTTTATGCAACTTAAACCTACATCAGGAGATCTAATGGAGCGATGACAATAAACATGTTGTCCTATGTTACCATCTTGTATGCAAACACGCAACACAATGCTTGAATGTATACTGTTAAATCATACCATTGTCTTGATGTTTTGTTTTGGTACTAAATCATTGATTATATTTCTAACAAGTACCGATACTGTAATACTGTTTGCTGTATCCAGTTACAAGCAATTTACAGAATGGAAAGTTTCTCTTTATATATTTTTATGTATTTATTTTTAAAAAATGTTTAAAAATTAATTTTAAAAATGCAGAAAAGGCTGCTGCTCTTTGCATTTGGAAATGGTGCCACAAGCAGCTCTCTGAGATGGATTTGTGTGTCTTTAAAAATGTCTTTATTAAACTAACATTTATTTTTCATTACTTTTTCACAGTAAAACTTAAAACAATTTTATCAAATTCCTGAAAGGAAACTTTTGTGTAAAGCTGCAAACAAAACTTAAATAAATAGATAAATAAAAATAAAAGTATAATAAACAATAATTAACTGTACACTATATTTACAAGAAAAACAAATATCACATCAAATCAAATCATATATCAAATATCATATACTGATTTGAGAAAGCTTCCAGTGTGGAAGCGAAACGTCACTTTCTAACAAGTAAATTAAAATTGGATTTTCACTCAGATTCACAAGAAAAATATGTGCATTCTCATGCATTATATATATTTTTTTCCATTAGTCAAGGAGACATGTTGAAACATTAACATTTTCAATATTTTTTTTTATTGACTCTTTATTACTGAAATCCTTAAATTAATTACTAGCTAACTGTATTTACCTTAAAAATTGCTGAAGAATGTAGAATGAATGTATGTATCCTTCAACTAACTGACAAAAAATATCTGCTATATTTGTTTGAATTCTTTATTTGTTTAAATTTTTAAACAAATAAAACATTTGTTTGAATTTTCAATTGAGAGTAAATAACATTATCATAAAAAAATTGTTTAAATACACTATGTACCTTGGGGGACTGTCTTATTAAGATAAAGATAAACTTTGTCTAATAATTTGGGAAATTCTTTATTTATGATAAAAAAATGAAAATGATAAAAAGTGCAACCAATATTATTGATACAATTATCACTGTATCAATGGTCGATATATCCAACATAATCTTAAAGCTTGGTTTCCATACAATCGCTACACTGTCGCTACGATGTTTTCAGTGCAATAGTTGTACCAGTACAACAACAGCACTGAAAACACTGTAGCGACAGTGTAACGATTTTAATGAAACCAGGCTTCACATAACATTTCTAATAATCTATTATGTAATATATTATCTATAATTATTGTTAATTATTATTATTGAGCTGCTATTATTTTTTTAAATTATTGTTTATCTCTTTTTTATTTGTACTGTGGATTTTGTTGTTAACTGACCTTGTTAGGTCAGGGTTAATTTTTCTGTTGTATGGAATAGTGTTTCCCAGATAGAAGACTTTTAATTGATTGATTGATTAATTATTATGATTTGTGTTAATTTTATCATAGTTTTTATTAAAATTATATTATATCCTATAAAAGAACTTGTTAAATTTACTAAATCCTTGCCATACAAAAGTATTCAATCTTCCTGCGTACACTGTAATCATACTTTAACCATTCATTGAGATTGAGAGTGGAAGAAAATCAATGAAAAACACCTGAGATGGTACCAAGAATCTCTTGCTATTCATAAACGTATAAAAGTACACAATCGTTAATGCAGCGCAGAGCTTGTTAGCATGCATGGCTGATTTGATAATAATGCCGGTAAATTTATATCTTGAATCTGAAGATTACATCCATTTAGGAGGCACATTGTTACGGATTTTGCCATTGATGTGAAGAAGGTCGTGAGAAATGAATGCACAGGAAATTAATTAGTTTCCAATGATGAGCTTTAAGATGATATAATTTTAATATTTAACAATTTTGTGATTTATAAATGTATTGCAAAACAAATTAGTTCATTTTATTAGGTAGGCCTACATAATTATATTACATAGGCCTATGTTTTATGTAAAAACTTGTTAATAAGGTGGATTTTTTTATACCTTGTTTTGTGAACTTGTTTTTTTAATCTTCAAAGGAGGGCGGAACGAAAGTATAAATAAAGTTTTTTCATATTCATCAGATGGTTTTTTGCCTATATAACATCCAGATGGAGGAGAAAATAATAATAAAATGTTATTCTTGAATTTAAACAGTGTGGTAACGGGATGGTTATATGCTTTAAATTTATATTTATATAAATTATAATATAATAATAATAATACTAATAATATTATAATTATATTTATAATTATGAAGAAATATACATTATTTTTGGAGATATCAAGGCAGCAGGGGGTGTAATAAAAATTTCCATTTTTTTGTGGCTTTGAGTGCGCTAATTGGCCATAATTAAAATTTAATTTTTATACATAATCATCATTAATGGCTGGTGGTATTGCATAATATTTATGGAGAATTAGTGAGCGCAATAGTAAGTCTTTTGGGTTTCCTACCAAATGATTGTAAGTTCAGATCCAGTCCTGGTCTCATTGCTTATACACCATTAAACCATCTTTAAATAACAGTGGGGGAAAAGTTTTATGTTTTTATTTAAAGCAATAAAACATTTGATTGTACCAAATTGGAATGATAATAATTGTGAAAGAATTCTTTCATTATAGATCTAAACATTAAGTAAAAATCAACCAATATGAGTTTGAACGTCTTGAAAGTTGCTTTTTCTTAATTTTGAATTTTATCTTAAAATATTCCTTGTTTTGTTATCACTTGTTTTGTTATCACTTTCAGTGTTGTATGCCTTTTGTTTTTTTTTTTAATTTTTATCCAATGATATTTATTTTATGGTATTTTGTTAATATTAATTAAGTTTCTATTCTATGACCTTTTTATGACTGGACCATGATGGAGACCAGTACTTTTGTATTGACAATGAAATTGTATCCAGTCAAAAGAAAGAATAAATAATTAGTAATAAGTATTTAATTATTTATATAATAACAATACACTTTTTAAAAATTTTTTTTTATTAAGAACACATTTTATAAGAAAACTGAGGCTGAAATATTAAGAACAAAATAAAAACAAATTGAGGCTGAGGTAAAATGTCAAATGAGGTTTCCATTTTTTTTTTAAATAGAAAAACCAAAAAATTATATCTGTACCGTATGTGAAGTAAGTGTGACTGTGTAATACCCTCTAATCAATAGGTGTACTGTCATTTGGGGGCCATTTTTACCAGGCCTTTTTTCAGGGCCCACTTTTTTCCAGGGCCATTTTTACCTACATTCCAGTACAGTAGTATGCTGCTGGACAATAACAATTTTCTACGTTGGAAAAGTGTGTAAAGTGAGAACGAAATATGAACATTTTGAGCCTGAAATCAGCCAAAAAAAATAAACACTGAGCCTGGGCAAAATTTTACTGGTTCTTAAAAAAAAAAAGAAGTGTACATTTGCTGTAGGCTTATTTTATTTCATACCAATGAGTATTTTTATTGAAATGGAATGCAAAATAAATCTCATATTATTATATGAACAAGTCAGTGCTGACATTTTATATTTGTTATTTCATTACTATGACAACTATATATCTTTTATTTGTAGGATCTGGTACGACACTATCCGTCACAGCCAAATGAATTTGAACGCAACCACAGGCCAGATATTATCTCCCATTTACCACCTCTCAGTGCTAAACAGGTAATAATAATTGTTACAATAGGTCTATTATTATCTCCTGGCTCCGTTGTTTAGTTTATCTGTGTACAGTTTTGATGTGAATTTCTGTATAGACTTTAGAGTATTGTATAGATTTGTTCTGTCTTCTGTAAATGTATTTTAAACCAGAAAAACAAATAGCTAAAATTCGATAAGATAGTTGCAATCTTGTCATGTTAAGTGATATACACTTAATACAATACTGTAATGATAATCCAATTTCCACAATGCTGTACATACCTGGTATTCTCAATAAAAAGTAGGCCTGTAATAAAAAATGTCATTAATATTTACTTGTCTGGAAAGACCTCAGAAATTCAATTAAAATATAGAACTGCTTTAAGGGGTCAAATAAGTTACCAATATCAAATTCCAACCAGATCAAATTAATAAACTTTCCAATGATTTATAGTCTCTATGAATTGATTACCAGCCAATTCCAGGTCTTTATGCAAGGAATGCTTATTAATTTAATTTTTGCATTCTGCAATACTGCATCTCTGTTCAATAGCAAGAAAAATATTTAGGATCATTTTTAGTTACAGGACATGTTTCCCCGAGTTTTCAATTTCTAAACTTCGGCTCAGTCTATTAGCCCAATTACGGATGGAAAGGGAAATATACTGTAGAAATATATAATTAGACCCATAAAAGTCTTCATAGATTTAAATGTCTAATATCCAGGACAATGACCTTTTCATCATTCAGTTTGGTTGGATTTGTTCTTGGGAAAACCTTAGTTTGTCAGATTTATTGATTAATTATTGTGAAACCAAAGAAAAAAAGTAAGCCATCAATCTTCATCCTGTCAGCAAATTTTGACATTCCACAGCTATTAACATAGTATATTAGGCGAGACTTTTCTTATACCTTGGAGGGCAGAACAAAAAATAAAATAACATTTTGTTTTCTTATTTCAAATAGTTTTGTCAAAAATATCCAGATGGAGGAGAAAATAAAAATAAAATTTTATTGGTGAATGTATTGTAAACAGTGTAGTAATGGGATATTTAAATGCTTTAAATTTATATAACTAGGAAGAAATATAGCCTACATATCATTATTTTTTTAGTTTTCAAGGGATAAGGAAAAACTTTAATTTTTTAAATTTCCATTTTTTTCCTGGTGTGCTAATTAGCCAAAAATAAAATTTATTTGTATTCAAAATCAGCATTAATGGCGGGCGGCGTGTTCGCTAAAACTGGGTATTAAAAAGTCCCGCCTTATCACTATATATTTTGGAACAACCCATTTTGCTCTCAGGACAAACCATGGGTACCAGTGGTATGAAGCCACAGGGCCTGTGGGTGAGAAAGTGTGTCACAGCAGTGGCAGGAGATGGCATTTGAGTGAATCCCCCTCCCTACCATAAACAAATTTATGAATATTATGTCTATAGGCAATTTCAATAGTGGTCAAAATTTGTTGAGTTAAAAACCATGAATTGTATTGTTTTATTGCCAGTTTTGTGTCTCTTTTTAATGATCTGATTGTCAAGGCTATGTAGTAGGCAGGCGTAAATCCAGTAAGGGGTGGGGGCCACAGGGGTCACGTTTCACCTTTTGCCACTAAATTTTAAAATTTCAATACATTCAATATTATGTATTTAAATAGCACTACTCACTTACTATTGTGAAAATGTTGTCCTTTCCCCCGTTTGAAAAATTCTGGATCTGTCCCTGGTAGAATGCTGAGGGTGTTAGTAACTGTAGGAGAGGGGGTTGCAGAGTTCCATCCCCAAGAGCCCGTAATAGGCGTTACTCTACTGATGGGTACTACAGAATTTGTCCATTTACATACCCTCACTGTGCATTTAACTTGTGTCCTTGGGCAAGGTACTTTATCTGCATTGCTTCTCTCCACCTAGGAGTATAAGTGGGTACCTGGTAGGGTTAAATGCCAAAATGCGCTGATGTAGCTGCTGCAACGTTATGGAACACTCTTCCAGGGAGCTTGATGTTATGTTACATAGGTGCTTAATCCAATGATTGGGGTAATGCAAATGTTAACAGCACATACAGTACATATGCACTATACAGTACAAGTCTACTGTGGTAATTATTATTATTATTATTATTATAATTGTCATAATTATTATTATTATTATTATTATTATTATTATTATTATTATTATTATTATAATTGTCATAATTATTATTATTATTATTATTATTATTATTATTATTGTCATTATTATTATTATTATTGTTATTGTCATTATTATTATTATTATTATTATTATTTTTATTATTTTATTATTATTATTATACAGTATTACAAATTTTGAGACATAGTTAATGCTAAAGGGGATTGTATAAGTTGAGAATTCTGGTTAACATTGATTACAGTGATGAAAAGAAATGATCACAATTATCGATTTCTTTATAGTCATCATATCTCCTAACTTTTATAGTGCGGTATTAGTGATGTATTATAATGTTTGTATTTTGTAATTTGTCACGTTTGTTCATAATTTGTCACACTGTTCAATGGCAATCACACTATAGAGAACAGGTGTGTGATCCTGTGACGGATATGGACTTCTGTGATTGTCCGCTAATTAACTCTGTTTCATTGTCGGTATCTGTGCCGATCAATACAGGACGCTCAGTTTGTTGTAAAACATTTCCCGAAAAATACTTTGACGACATTTGGCTGCTGTTCGTAATTAGAGTCATAATTGGATAAATCAATATTTTCAATGTACTTAATTTAAGGTATTCATCATGTAGTTAAATTGATAGTCATTAAATTGAGTTTGTAGTATTTTCTGATAGCATGTTAACTTTATATTATAGTTACAAAGTATGTCTATTTTTGTCTGTTTTCGTTCTTTTGTTTTTTTTTTTAAATAAATTACATTGACAGTATACTATTACTATAATGCTGGTGTGTAAAAAAGTATGGAACACTAATATTAATTTATAAGATAGTATGAAACAAATAACAAATAAATTAAGTTGCAGTCCTACTTTACTGTTAAAATAGGTACCCATTATGTAGAGAATAAACCTATTAAGACTCAGTGTCTCAACTGTAAGTGATGTTAACCAATCTAAATTTATGTTTCACGGATTTAATATAATTCTATGTATTTTTCAAATTTGTAGCCTGCTTTTAGTAAAAATCCCAAGATTGTTCAAAGTGGGGCCTGGACCAAAGCTGCACCGTTTAAAGAGCAGAAGCACTACCGCCATGTAAGTGACGCTATTGCAAATAACTACACGCCATCAGCTCGCAACCTTACCACCTCTTATGTTTATGAATTTACAAAGAAGCAAGGTAAATATGTGTCAATGTATTAAATCAATTTATTATATATGTAGGCCTACTCTGTAAACAGACCCATTCATAATATGTAGGAATTGGGTGTTCTTTTCCCTGAATTCTGACAATGCATTGTCTTAATACAGAAGGATAGTTGATTGAAATTGACAAAAGACAAAATATACAAGAATATAAGAAATGAAATGAATTTCTAATTAAAATAAGAGAAAGCATGGAAAAAAAACAACACACAAACATAAAAGTGATAGTTTTTAAACAAAATTAATTCTCCTTTTCTATAGAACGCCAAGCTATTGAGAATGGTGAGTTTACTATCGTAAGCCCACAACGGAACAGCGACGGTCTACGCGTCCAGTCTGTATCTCCAGAACAACTGCCTGAAAAGACCCGGCCGTTGTCAAGAAGGAGGTGAGTTAGTTATTTTACTATATTTTAATCAATCAATTATTCAATTGAATAATCAATAAATTTTTCAATAAAAAAAAATGTAAACAGAAACAAGTCCTTTTAAAAAATCTTATTGTCCTACTGTATATCTAATGATAGAGTTCAGTTTTATTATTTTTCCATTTCCTTAATTAGGCCAAATTTCCGTAGAAATTATGGATGTTCCATAGAACTTTAGGACTCTGGAATGTAGAGTATTGGATTGGTGTCAATATTCATAAGCCCCTTTCTGTTTGACCAATACAGCATTTTGGGCTATTCAGTACATGTTGACCATTGATACACTATCTGTTCATTAAATCGTAATTATCTCGGAGGGCCCAGATAAAATGTCATCCATTGTAAGGTTTGTAAGTTGGTTTAATCATGGTTTAGTTGTTTTCTGTTAAGCTTTCTGATTGATTTGTCAATGGCTGGCACTTGTATACAAGGTCATCGGTTGTATGCTACCATTCAGTATTCAAATATAAATATATTGGTTGTACATCGACAAGGAATGTAATGAGCAATAGGTTGGCCTACGCGAGGAACATTGATATTTGGTATTTTGCATCATTAGGTAGTCATGTGACCTCAAAGTCGCCATTTTGAATTTCTGTTTTTTCTCAAATTTTGATAAAAAATCAAATTTTTCCCAATGAAATTTTTATGGAATGTTTTTTTTTTTTTTACTTTATAATGATGAGATGTGTATAAGAGACAGCTGTAGGAGAGGGGGAGTTAGTTTGATCGTTTTATTCCAAAACCGCAAATAATCAAAGTTTTTCTTCAAAATTGTGAAAATATAAAATTTTGCAGAAAATCACTGTTAGATGTACTTTTTGCCATACGTTTTTATTTATGCTTTATATAATCCAGGTTGTAAATATAAATGCATTGTTGCAAACATCATACGGTTACTTTATTTTAGAACTATAAAAATTAGCCTGTTCTATTGTGTGAAATGTGGAAAGGAAATCTGCGGACAAGGCATTGCCACCTTGACCCTGTGCAGGGCCTCCCAAGTTGAGAGAATCATCGTTTTCGTCCTTAGAATCACTGTCGTCACTATCATAGTCGACCGGGGGAAAAGAAATGCAAGAATCATCCAATTCAAAGTTATCTTTACTATCCGTATCTGCAAAGATTTGGTCCATAATTTCGTTGACATTGTACCGTCTGTTTTGAGGCCGTGCACCCGCCATTTTGCGCCTAATCACTCGAAAACACTTTTTTCCGATAAAAGGTTAATTATAGTTCATAGAAAAAAACTATAGAGGGCGTAGAACCTCTTCATGATTTTTAACAATATTTTTTCTACATACCCGGTAGTACCGGGTACGCGCAATTCAACAGTATGTGTTTATACCCGGTATTACCGGGTACACGCAGTGAAAGGGTTAAAAGTTTACAGGAAATAGATCAAATAAAAATATATAATTCTGTAGACATAATATAATTTTCACTGAATTTTGGAGTAAAGTTTATTTTTCTTTTAATTCTATTAAATGTTTTAAGAAATCAGCTGATGAATCAAAAACAAGTCACAAATAATTTTGAATTTTAATTAAAACATGAATTGACTCTATTTGATCATCATAAATCACCATCATCATTGTCATTTATAGTAATTGTATCATCAGATTAAGAAGGGTATTGGTCTTAAAACAATTCCAAAGAAAATCAGATCATTTATTAGTATAGTATTTACATCTATATCCCATCACCACCACTATCATCATCTTTTTAATCAATTGGAGCTATTCAATCAAAGATATTAATTTGTCTATTTGATATTCTTATTATTACGTATTAGACAAGATTTTTTTATACCTTGTTTTGTTTTTTAATTTTTTGACAAACTATTTTCTAAATAAGAAAACAAAATTTTATTTTTATTTTTATTCCGCCATCATTCGATGATCTTTAAAAAAATAGGTACGCAAAACAAGGAATAAAAGAAGTCTTGCCTTACCTCTGTTGAATGTATTTCGTCATTATCATCATCGTCATCACTGTCAACGTCATCATTAACATCATCATCATCATTATCGTCATCATCATCATTAACATCACCATCTGACATCATTGTCATCATCGTCATCATCACCATCATTGTCATCATCAATATTGTCATTATTATCAATATTATTATCATTAAGGCGCTTTATAAATGCTTTCTAATGTCAGTTGTCAAGGTGATTGCTATTTATGTTCATACTATAACTCTCTCACAATAATGCATTGGACTTTCTCAAGAGTTATTAATGAAACTGCATTGCTTAATTCATGTGCGCACATTGGCACACATAAAGTACACACATGCATACATGCCCACTCATCGCTCTGTGAAAGTGCTTAGTAAACAGCCTATGCAATTTGATATTGCAATTAGAGGCCAGCTTAGAACAAACTAATACCAACTCGTTTAGGAATAACAAAGATGTTTAATGAAGATATAGTGAAGTACATTATTTTTTATTTAAGTGGTCGTGGTTGAAATTTTCTGGTATTAGGAGTTGTGAGTATAAATCAATAACTGGGTATAATGCCGTAGGGATTGGTAATTGAAACAAGATTAGTACCATAGGCTTAGCTATAAATATAATTAAACATTGATAATCTTGCCGCAGCATAGAAGATTATGAGATACTCTGTAGCTTTCATTATACAATATCATGATTCCCCCATTGCCTGGCAATAATGATGATTTCCAAATAAAAATATGATTATATTTTTATGTCTGCCAAAAAACCATCAAATTTTAATGTATAAATAAGTTTTTTATCACCAGCTGCCATGAAATATCCTGATAAGAATGTGTTAATTCTTCCTGATAATTAAAGATGTAAAGTAATTTTTTTGTCTGATTATTGAACTGTTTACTGTACATCCCAATATACATAAGATAGGTGCTTTTGCCAGAACCATTTGTTAAATAAGATTTTTTTATATCCTTTTAATTACTTAAATAACAATAAAAGATATAAAATTTGAATATTGGCATTAAAAAAATAATTAAAAATATGTAAATGGTAAAAAAAGTGAAAAGAAAAAATGTAGATAAATATAAACAGTTAATAAAGATTTTTAGATTAGAAGTAAACAGCAGCCTACATGAACAAAATTGCACTCAAGTACTGTATTCTCTACACTTTATTTATACTGTAAACACACAAAAAAGTGAAAAAAAAGGTTATAGGAGGGTACACGTACATCACTGATTATAGGCCTTGGTGATAGTAAGTGTTATTGGTTTCTACTGTGTCTGTCACTAAAATGCTAAGCTATCTGGTCAATAGAAACAGTCAATATTGACATTTCTGAAGCCTAGATGATTAATTGTATTCAGTAGGCCAACTCTGTTATTTATCGTTGCCCGGTTGTCACTCTTCTATTTAAGTTCTCACACGTATTTGTGATTATTTATTCGTTGACAAAATGAAAATTACACTTTGTCAGAGAGTGTAAAGTTTATTAATTTTTTTTTTTAAATTTTTGTAGTAAAGTTATAGGCCTAACATACAGCAGTGGCACTAGTGTGGAGGGGGTTGGGGGGTCAGAGGAAATTTCCGAAGCATGGATTACTCCTGTCATCTGATACCACATTATAAGGTCTTCGCACTAAAAATTGTAAACTAATAAAAAATCCCTTCCTCCATAACCCCAACCACTTTGGTTTGGAATCCCCTGTCAAATGTTGCTGTTGACAAAGTTCTTAATGTCTTGTCCATGCTATCAAATTTGATTTTTGACAAATACATGTGAAATTCCAAAATATGGTAATGATGACATCACATCATAACCATATATAGGCACATCATGACTAACTGTATATGGGCATACATCAGTTCTTTGTGGACAAAGCCTAACTCCATGGGAACTATACAGCACTATTATGTATTTCTGGATAGTGAGTGTTTCTCACAGATGTTTTTGGTTGTCAGATTCAAATATTTATTATTCTGAAAGTAAATCTCGCACACTTCCTCATCCAAGATGAAAATATTATGAAATTAAAAAAACACAATCTTTGAAGTAGAAAACCAAAAATCAGGAACAACTACAGAAGTATTACCTCAGAACAATTCAATTAAATTTAGCATGATGATTTAATCAATATAACCACAGCAAACACAAATGTTGTAACATTTGTGAACATTGTGAGCATGGTAGTTAGGTTATATCAGAAAATAATAACACAACTGCAACGTTAGTCCCAAATTATGATAATATTATAAATACGCATTAATGATTCTACAAAAACATTTTGAATATCAAAGTGCAACATTAATGTAAGTTGTTAGCTGGGAATTCTAATGGTTTTCAAAAGTTTTATCAAAATTTAATCTCTAAATACAGTATGTACTGTCTGCTATAGGAAAAAGTCAAAAAGTATAACCATTAGTCTTGTGTTACTGACAATATGTTAAAGTACTGTTGTTGAGTATTATATTTAACAAATTAAGTGTCACTGTCAACATTAGTAAGTATAATTATTGAGAAGTTAATATTATTGAAACATACTTATGTAATACATTGGTTAATACTTTGTAGGACAATATAAGTACATACTAAATGGTTTCAAGAAGGGGACTTAAGTTCCTGAAGCGTTTGACCCTGGGAGCAAATCCTTTTAACTGTACTTGGCCCAAAGAGCAAGCTCTTTTATTCTCTACAGCCTTGCTTAATCCCTGTCTCTACACCATCAACACTTAGAAAGGTTGTTGCTGTGGTCTCTTTTAATGCTACCCTATGTATGTCTGCACTTGTGGTATATTTTCGACAATCCTGGTAAACATAGGCATATTCTTATTGTTATGACAATATTGTGTTTGTACTTTCTTCTGCAATAAGAGTCTGAAATGTATACTGAACTGTAATTGTAAGGGCCAATGAAACATACATAGGGGAGGGATTAACATTTTTTTCGCAAGTATTTTTGAGTGTACTAAGTGTTCGGTGTAACACTCAAATGATATTTTCCTGATGCACAAAATCGCATCAAAATAGGATTAACAGTGTGTTTACACTTTTGGAAAAAGCCAATCTAATCTGACAAAAAAATGAAAATGACATCTGTGATCTTTTTTATTTTTTAATTGTATATTCTTTTGGGGGTGTGGATGGGGGAGGGAGTAGGGAGCTTTAAAAAAATATATAAATCTCTTTGGAAATAAAGGTCAGAGTGAATATTTGTATTTGTATAGAACATTAAACAATGAATTTCCTATAAATGATTATTATTTATACTTTAATGATTCATTTTTTAGGTACTGTATGAACTCTCTTGTCATTGAAATGAAAATATTCTTCAATTTGTCAGTTATCTTATTGCTTGGCTTACCAAATGATAATAACCCCAAAAGCTTGCATCAAAGTATAGATATTTTAGAAATGGTAGGTACCTGTACCTGTATAGGAATAGATCCTATCAGTATAACCCTTATTTAGATTGCCTCCAAAATTTCTATGAGTTGATAAGTTATTTATCATATTCCCTAGTGTGGCTAGGGAATATTAATTGTCTACATAACTCCTGTCAAAATGAGAAACTGAACCAAAAGTTCTCTACTAATTTGACCGTGTTGACATGAGCTTTAGATTCACACAAATTTTATATGGGTTGCTAGGCTAACCAAATGGTAATACACAAGACTCAAGGGAGTCTTCAACCTGCTTTAGAACTGTAGTTGTATTATCCTAGGCAGAATGTAAATGTTAACAATAAAAGAATTTAAAGCAAATATTTAATAAAGGGTTTTTGTGATATAGTGTCATGAGGACACTGTATGTTTCACTAAGGGAGTGTTAGGAAACTTAATATCTTTAAGGTCCAGACTATCAAATTTTATTTGACAAAATCATGCGATATGCGTAAATGACATGACATCATGACCATATATAGGTACATCATGACTATATATGGGCATACAACAGTTTATATCAAAGAAAATTTAATAATCTGGACAGCTTAACATTGCCAAATTGTTGCTTCTAAGTGCAAACATGTGATGTATTCTGTTGCACATCTGATTATGAGGATGAGGATAATAATGAAAGTGGTGGCGAAGTTAATGAGAATGATATTATAACAATAATGACAATATAATATTCATTGAATGAATAACCATGATGTGATATTGATCATGTTAGTCATAATTATAATAATAATAATAAATGCTTGTGGTATACCATGTAGATTGTGAACTCAAAAGAATTGTTGTTTACAGTATATTGAGAATGTCAACATTTTGATAAAATTGTTTCAATTTGATGATTTAGGCTACTCATAGTATCTGTAAACCTCATCAATATTCATACAGTAGTATTTTTTTTGGAAGATTCTAATAGTTTGGATAAAAATGAAATAAATTAAATAAAATCAATAACAATTTTATCATCATGCAATTGTTTTTCAGCTCAAAGGAAACCAATAACAGACGAAGACATGCACCAACCTCCGGTTCATCAACACAAAGACCTTACACATCAACTCAGTCGGGGACCTACACAATCTCAAGTACCCTACCCCCAATTAATGGTACCCCACCAACCAGCCCTCGCAATGGTTATACCTCTCCTCGATTAGGACCACTCAGCAGGCGGCAAGATCTCAACTCACGTCTTGAAGCTGGTCTCAATGGGAACTCAAGACCATCGACGAGCTCACGTCAGCGCCCTGGTCAAGTAGAGGTGACACGAGTGCTCCAGAGCAGGGGAGAGTCGCATGATGAATCTTCTGCATCCTCAAGTTCATCCGGGAATAATAACAGACGGCAGGATAGTGGGCATGGTAGCCTAGATGGAGTACAAGCATCACCTACAAATGGTAAGACAGACATTTGGGATGACTATATATGTGCAAACCCGTATATAGTGGGGGTAGAGAATTTTATGGTATTTCAATATGAATCAGTTGAATAAATATATTTATCATTATACATTATTGTACAGTACATGTATCTGAATTCTAACATTTATTTACAACTTTGATACAAAGTATAAACCATTTATGAATGAGAATATATTGAAATGAAAGACCCCTCCAATTAAAGACACTTTTCTGTGGTCCCATATTAACAATTGTCTTTTATTATCATTATTCTAATTAGAGACTAAAGCTGCTAAAGACCAGGGAAACACTAGTGGCGAAAGTGGTCTTTAATTGGATGGAAACCTGTATATTTTTAAACCTTCATAGCTTCCTAATCATTGTTGGCCTCAGGGATGGATTTTACTCTGGATCCACCCCTTTTCCTTGATTTTTATGATCTCCTTGTGGATTAATAATGGTTTTTTTTTAAATCTAGATTCTGAACGTCCAAAGAGGAATTCCACAACTGATGCTGACACCGCAAGGAGAGAGTTTGATGTGGATGCACTGGCTGTCCTTGGTGTTGAGTTCCCTTCATACACATTTTCTACTACAGGTTTATCAAGACCACCCACACCTGAAGAACCTGACAGAGGAAGGTAAGAAATTTAACAAATGTCTTTGATTAATTCGACTCGTCACCATCATCATAGTGACAGTAAAATCTTCACTCATCTACGACCATGGCACCTGTAGGTGTCCAGAAATGGCACTGTCATTTTTTTAATTTTCTGGTTTTCTCCATTAAATTGTTTTATTTCGAAATTTTTTTTTTTTTGGTGTGGGGGGGTGGGGAGTGGGATTTGGGTGGTGCTGGCCGACTTGAATCCGTTACTGATTATGGCCATTGTCTTCCTACTTTTTTTAACTTTGTCTGCAAGACGTGTCTTTCTCTTTTCTGCAGATATTACAGCCTGCTTAAAGATTCAATTGACACCAGTTCTGTGGCAGGATTGTGTAATGAATGGATACATGGTGCTTATCGATTTATACCACAGCATCTCAAAACGGACTTCCTTCAGCAGTGCTTGGAAAATGTAACAGAGGTGAGAAAGTCTTTTTCCTAACAATAATATAAGTTTATTTCTTAATATTATTTTTTATCATTTTTGAATCTAGGTCTGGATATACAGTTGGTAAAACTTCTAGAGCATCACACCAATTTAGGGTCAGAGTTCAAGGTGCCATGACATAAAGTGTTTATTCAAATAATATGGTTATAAATTTGCATCACTAAATTGAAATAAAAATTTAAAACAAAAACACTAAACCTTAAAATATCCTATATAGTACGTCACCGCCATCATCCATCAGGCCTGTCTCTTATACACATCTAGATGTGTATAAGAGACAGTATTTGTGTAGATTAATATTTTAATAGTTTCTACAGAACTGAGTGCAGGTAGCACATCTTCACATATTGACAGTTATTCTTCTAAAAAATGTGATTTTTAAACTTTTTGAAATGTTGATTTTCTAATTTAGGAGATGCGTGAAGATTACACATCAAGTGTGAAGCAAAGCATGCTGGACTACATTTTAAAGGACCCCCAAGAGCAAGTTAGACTGGGTATTCCATTGCCTTCCAAGATTTCAAATCCTGCTGGAAGGGAGATGTTTCCATGGAAATCAGCTGTAATCAACGCCAGGAATTTCATGGAAAGACAACTTTACATCACAAATCCAGTCATGGCGGCTATTCTCTTCTTATGGGAAACAAAGTTAGACGTATTTGTGTTTTTAATAAAATGATGTTGTGCCTTTTATATTTTTTTAGGAAAATATTGTTTTGCATTTGCCCATATATGTGCATGATGATGTAATATCATACCCATACAATATATAGCATGATCACAGATATTTTCATACGAAAACTTCATAATGTAAACACTAACAGACTTTTTACAATAGACAGATTTTAAAAAAATTTTGAAATGCAGTAGGCATGTCTGCATTGGATTTAAATTAGCATTCACACATTATAATTTATCTTGACCAGTCACAGGATGAAGGGCCCAGAGTGATTAATTTTTCAACAGAAATTGTGGATGAATAATTGTTTCTTTAAAATAATGATAGGTTGCGACTTTCAAGTGAAACCTTAAGCTAAGAAATTATTTTTTCTATGGATTAGTTAACAAAAAATGACCCAAAGTACGATATCTTTTTTTCATAAATACTTTTTCATTGAGCGCTGTGAGACCCTGCAGATGCCTTGTGGATCTATGACACCTTCGTAATAAGCGATATATAAATGTTAATATTATTATCATTATTGTACCAAAACTCCTTCATGTAAGTGTAAGGATTTCTAAGTATAGTACTGTACTTCTTCCTTGACAATACTTACTATTTCCTGAATTTTATTGGTCTAATTATGTCACAATTAATTTGAATTTGATTGATTTTATGTTCTGACTGACAATGCAGTTGTATTTATATTGATTTAATTACCTTAAAGGGTAATCATACAGACAGTACTCATTTTTTTCCATGTGACGCAAATTGTGGCATTTCATTTCCACAGAGTAAATTTACATTCAAGTCATCATCTGAAAAGTATAGAAATTCCACGAAAATAATCAATTGTTGAAGGAATTATTGTATCTACACATCAGTTCCTGTTAAACAAACACTTGATGATGCCTACTGCTATTGTAATTGAACCCATAGTAACTCTTCCTTAAGCGATATCTCAGTACTTGTTTTCATGACGTTTTTAAATGCATGTAATTACGTAATTACAGATGAGAATACCTTTTAAACACAATTGCTGCAATTTCACCTGTGTGACCTTTTTGAAGTCATCCTATATCTTGTTTTCAGGTACATCAATTTTAGGCTTATAGATATCCCAGGTTTAAAAGCGCTTCAGCCAATTACATTGGAAAAGTTCTTTGACCATGTTGTTGAGTCGTGTCATCGAGGGCGGCAGAGGCTGGAGAGAGAATGGCTGGTAGAGTGTGCGGAAATTGTCGGTGATCAGAGAAAAAATATTGAAGATTTAATGCCAGATGATGAGGTATATTGATTCAATTCTAATTGCATTTAACTTTGTTTTTTAAAATTACAATATTTAAAAAAAACTGTATTTATATAGAAAGCTTCATCTGCTGATGTTAGCATTAAACAATCTAAATCTAAAACATTTTATTGATTGTTCATATATTGTACTTTGGAATACAGTGTGTATATATAAACTAATATATTAATTATAACGTTATGTGTATGCATTCATGCAGATTCAAATACAGTGGATACTAGAATTATTTTAATGGTAATGGCTATGTACTGGTATGGTACTTGTATTAAAATATTATTAAAAGGAAATATATATAACCGGTAACATGGATCTATATGTAAGTATGTATGAGTAGAGTAATTACTAGAATTATTATAATGGTAATGACTGTCTACTTGTGTGGTACTTGTATAAGAATATTATTAAAAGAAAATATTTTACTTTTCCTCAGGAATCTAGAATGAATGAAATGGACAGCTTCTTTGGCTCCATAGCAACGCTAATGTCAAAGTGCATGCGGAGGGGTATCAAGAAATCAATCTATGATCTTGTCGCATGGTTAGAACTGTATTCCAAAGGGAACAACTATGATAGTAATTACCAGGAAAGCAATCTTCGTTTTCCGGCAATGGAGCATCCGTTTACATTCTTCATGGAAGAATACATGGAGAAGGTGACGTGTCAGTTTGTGCCGCCATTTGATGAGGTCACCGCCATCATCCATCAGGCTGTTGATACAATGGTTCAAAGCATGGAACAGTTCCCCCGGATTGAGTCAAAGCTCTTTGAATACGTTGACAACGTGAAAATTCAATTTATCAGTACTGTGAAAAAAGATGAGGAGATCGTTGAAGTTGCTAAGCAACGAATAGAGGAGGTGATACAAACTAACAGCCATGGGCCAAATAGGTGAGGGAAAATAAGAAAGTGCAATCATTACTATTATTATTATTTCTACTAAATAAATAACAAAGGTAATGATTTTTACTAAATCCTAATGTGGGGTACATATCATCCCCTTATAGCAAAATGTTTACTTAAATTCATGTAAAAATTGTAGTTCATGTTTTTTGTTACTCATAATTTAAGAGCATATGCCTGTGAATCCACAATTCATTGAAACTCATATATTGATTAATTAACTATATTACAATATGTATTATTATGTTATGATATAAAATGTTTTGATTCACTATAAAAGAGATGGATATAAACCAGTTTCAATTTTTTGTCAAGATGATTGATATTAGGTTGTAATTAATTTGTTTATTATCAGTTGTCTCGCAACGTTTCTAATCTTATTTTCTTTTTATTATTGTTTCTTCATTGTTCTTTCTCTCCAGATACATCAGTGTATACAATCCATTTGAATATTTACTATCAAAACAGTCAGACACCATAGTTGAGAGGTTCATCAACAAAGAACAACATCTTCGTGATTATGTTCGTGAAATTGAAAAGCTGAAATCTATGGCTGATGAGGCAGCACTGCTTCCTGTATTTGTGCCGATGCATCTTTTTCTTTTGGATTGCAACACAATCAACAGCGTAAGAATTTTGTAACCTCACATAGACATCACATAGATTCAAATGAACATTTTATGTTTATCTACACAAACATTTACAATCATTTATCCATCATGTATTGCATTTTATAGGTTAATTAGAGTGTTCATACACTCCAATTTATACTATTAAAGTATAAATGCACTGACCTTTGACATAGTTATGTGCAATTGAAACTACTGAGGGGCTTTTCTGATTAAGACTTTCCAAAACCAGCATACTGCTACTAATTGTCAAACTGTAATCATCATAATAATGTGACAATATTGCATACTTCAGTATAGAGAAGCCATAATACTTTTACTTAAAACTTTGGCAACTGTAAGTTATAATAAATGACAAATCATTTTAAAGCTTACAATGTGGAGAACAAAGAATATATTTTAAAAATTTCATATTTTGGTTACTGGTTTTTAGGATAACAGCCTAATTTTTTTTTGGGCAGTTGTGTAAAACCATTGGATGGCATTGTTAGATGTATCCCCATTTTGTAGTACTCATACTATTTCATCTTTGATAGAAATAAACATCTTTACAACAAATTGCATTTCTTTTGCTCAGTGGCTAATTGCAAGAGCTCGACACCTGGCAGCCATCATGATTGACCGGATTACGATCACAAGTCGCAAGTTCAACCGTAGCATCTGTCAGGAATACGATGGCATTGTGCGCAAGATCACCGCACAGTCAGAGAGCACGCATCAACTGGTGAGTCTTCAGGAGTATGTGGACAGGCTTCGTACTGGGCAGCTTCTGCAGCTGAGGGAGAAACTGGAGATTGCAGCCTCAAACCTTCTCTTTCTGATGGATTATGCTTACCTGACTAAAGATGATGTGATGCTGAATGACAATACTTTTACCTGGCCAAATAGGATTATACCATTGATACGGAACAGGTAATAGAGCTAGAAATATTTATGATGATGACGAAGATGATAATACTTTGTTGATACCTACCTGGATAAACTGACTGAAATTTATTTTATAAGTGTGTGTTTTGAATAATATCGAATTGAATCAGATTAGTATAGAATGATTCCAATAAACTATTTAATGGGACTACAACAATCAGTTTTTGCTGGTACAAATAAAATTCTAAAATTTATTATCAGCCAATTTATGGAAATAATATTTGAATGGTGTATATATGTATCTGTAATTTGGGAAAGAAAATATTTGTTTTAAATTTAATTTTTGGTTGAAAGTTAATATAATTCAATAAAATTCTGCAATATTGTTTTTGTGGTTTATTTTTGTGGAAAAGAACAAATTCTTACATATTCTTTTCTTACACATGCTTGATATAATGTATATAGTCATGCCAAAAATGAGAGTGGATCACCTACTACTCAGATATAAAAAAAAAACTAAAAACTACATGGGAAGGTATGTTTCGCTTGCTTTCAACATATTTTATAATGATAAACAATTAATAAACAATTAATTAAATTCTTAATTTGATTGACAGTGAAACTAAGCTTCAGAAGGAACATGACTACGCTGTTTCAAAACTCAATGATTGGAAGAAGAGATTCACAGCTCGAATCAAGAAAGAGGTAACAGATGAAGTGAAAGCATTCAAGTCTAAAGACCGCATGTCAGAAGCCCAGAGTTACCAAGACACCTTGATTGTCATTGATCAGAAACTTGATGAGTTCTACAAGGAGGTCAGTATTTATAGTTTGGACGCTGATGCTTTTAGTAGATAAGGATAGTGATGATGTAGAATTTATTATTGGTGTTTCCTTCTTTTTTTTAGGTAATGATAAGAATGATTTTGTGTAGAATTAATCAATTTATGATTGCTTTATTTCATTAAAGAAATTGAATATCAATAAAGAGGAACAGATGCTGGATGTGGGTGAGATAAGTTTGTACCCTCAGCTGGATGAGATGAAGGAAGCAAAGGAACCATATGACAGACTCTGGAATGCTGCCGTCAAATTCCATCTGGTGTATGACAAGTGGATGAATGGTCCCCTCTTGGAGGTTAATGCAGAGGATGTTGAAGAAGAAGTACAGAGCATGTGGAAGACAAGTTATAAGCTGACAAAAATCTTTGCGCATCCAGAGTTCATTGGTCCGATGCGTGCCGCAGCAACTCTCAAAGGGAAGTTGGAGAAGTTCAAGATTAACATGCCACTTATTAACGCTCTTTGTAATCCAGGAATCAAACAGCGCCATTGGGACATGATGAGTCAGAAGGTAAAGCCATTTTCTTGATGGTTACCCAAAAGCGATAATTTATGTCTTTAAAATTATCCAGGTTTCACCCTTTTAAATGATTACGATTATTATGATTAATGAAAAAATAGGTGACAATAATGGTTAGAAATCACCTCATTTCAAGCATATGTGATCGATCATACAGGTACCACTAGGTTAGAGAGCTTGTATTGAAATATATAAAAATAAATTAAATAAGTTAAATAATTTAATAAACTATATAAATTTATAATTTCTGTGACATTTTTTTATTCATATTTTGTCTCCTTTAGGTTGGATTTGATATAACACCTTTACCAGATACACCCTTGATTGAACGTTTGCAGATGGGCCTAGAAAAGAACTTAGAAGATCTCACTGAAATCAGCTCACAAGCTAGCAAAGAATATGCATTAGAAAAGGTAAAGACATTGTAACAACTTCCATGTCATCATCTAGTTCTCTCCTTACCTATTTGCATCATGCATTCAATTTAATCCAAACAGGTCATTTATAAGGCGCCTTTCTTTGCAGATACGAAGCGCTGCACCCTACATACTTAGGCACCTCACAACCCACAGGCAGTCATGATCAATCTTACAGATTAAAAACATGCTCTAATGTTCCATTCTAATTTTATTTGTAAGGCCTTGATCAAGATGAAGAGTGACTGGGAAGAGATGAACTTCAACTTCACTCAGTACAAGGACACCCAGTTGAGTATTCTCTCTGCACCAGATGACATCCAAGTGCTTCTGGAGGATCATGTAGTCAAGACATCCACGATGAGAGGATCACCATTCATTGCACCATTTGAGACTGAGATCAAAGACTGGGAAGTTGGTCTGGTGAGTATTGATTGCAGTGACATTATTTTAACTTTCATTGAGATCTTGACAACTCTGTTGTTGCCATCATTACTCTTTTTTTTGCATTTTGGTTGCATAATTACAACTGATAAAGTATATCAACTAGAATATTTAATTTTACTATAACTTGTGTCTATTATTTGATGGCAGTAATCATATGCTGTTATTGACATTCTTACAGCTCCTTTAGCTCACTTATTCCAACTATCTCATTTTCAGCATCGCATGCGAGACATTCTTGATTCTTGGTTGAAGGTTCAAGCAGCATGGCTTTATCTGGAACCTATTTTTGGTTCTGAAGATATCCGCCGACAAATTCCAATTGAAGGAGAGATGTTCACAACAGTTGATGCTAATTGGTAAGATTTTTTTTTACGATTTAGGGAGAAAAGAGACAAAATTGTTAATATTGTTTTAAAAATTGTACTCATTGCTATTTTTTGTAATTATTTACTGCAATTGGTGTATATGCAGGAAAGAGATCATGACAACCTCTGTGAAGAACACTAATGCTCTAGTGGTGACATCTCAAGATCAGATGCTGGAGAATCTGCAGCATTCTGAGAGTCTTCTCGATAATATTCAAAGAGGACTCAATGATTACTTAGAAAAAAAGAGATTGTTCTTTCCAAGGTGAGAAAAATATCAAATTATAGAAATGTAAACATATTTTGTATATATTTATCGCAAAGCCAGATCAGATCACATACATTGGGAACTGTGGGCCAAATATTAAAATCTTCACTCTTGACTGACCTGTTCTTCCCTATAGGTTCTTCTTCCTGTCCAATGATGAACTGCTTGAGATCCTCTCAGAAACCAAAGACCCTCTCCGTGTTCAACCACATCTTAAGAAGTGTTTTGAAGGAATTGCACAACTAACGTTCACAGAAGAGAAGGAGATTGTTGCAATGGAATCAGCAGAGAAAGAGACAGTGACTCTGTGTAATAAGATTATACCGGCAGATGCAAAGGGACTTGTTGAGAAGTGGCTCATTCAGGTAATGAGAAGAAAGATGGGTAAATGTGCTTGCCTTCCAGTTCCGAAGTTCTAAGTTCTAATCCTAGATATTTGTTTCATGACTAAAAACAGATTTAATTTTAAAACCAAATAATTTAAGTCTGATTCATACAAGATTAAATGGTACTCTGAATCCATGGTACTCAGGATGCATGCTGTGGAAATTTTTGCATGTGTCCCCGTCAACATCAGGTTCATGTGAAGGAACCTTTCTCTAAGATTGGCATTATGTGATATGTCTTTTTAGGAAAAACAGAGTAAGCTGTAATCTGTCAATTGAAAATTTGAATGAAAGGACATTTTCCAACAGTTGCATTAATACCTCAATGCTTATTGCTTAGACTGGTAATCTATTTGAGGGTTTTCATTTTAAAAGGTTTTTAAATCTCATTTTATCAGGTTGAAGATATGATGAAGAAGAGCTTGCAGGAGGAGATGATTAAATCAATGGAGGCATATGCTGATGCCCCCAGAGAGAGTTGGGTCTTAAAATGGCCGGGCCAGATTGTGCTGGCTGTCAGCACTACCTACTGGACATTAGATGTTACCGAGGTACCAAGTTTCAATTAGTTTTAAATACAAATGTAATGCACTATGCAAAAACGTGTTCTGAATATTTCAATAATAATTATACATGGTATTGATTAATCTTGATTTTAATAATAATTAAATTAAATAAAATTATGTCTTATTGACAGCGATAGGTATTTGCTATTTGACTGTATTATAATTCATTGTGCTTTTCTTCCATCCAATCAGGCCATATGTAAGAAGGATGGATTGAAGATGTATTTAGGCCAGTGCAATAAACAAATTGATGACATTGTGTGTTTAGTGCGAGGCAAGCAGTCCAGAATGACCCGTACAACATTGGGGGCGCTCATTGTCATAGATGTACATGGTAAGTTGCATTCAATTCAGCATAAGCAATCAATAAGTTGAATGTGGGTAGTTAACATTTTTTCACAGAATTTTCCACAATTCAGAAAATATTTTATTTTCATTTGTAGCCCGTGATGTAGTAACCAGTCTCCATGAAAACAATGTCAGCGACCCGCTCTGCTTTGCATGGATCAGTCAGCTTCGATATTACTTTGAAGAGAGCACTGTAGCTGTTCGTATGATCACCACAACAGTACCATATGGTTATGAGTATCTAGGCAACACTGGGAGGCTTGTGATTACACCACTTACAGATCGTTGCTATAGGTCAGTTAAAAAAAAATTAATGATAAATTATATATGAAAGTACAAATCATAATTTGTGTTTACATGTATTCATTGATCATTGAATTTAAGTATCCTGTCCAGTTCATCATATGATTGGCTGTCATGCACTCTATATCTGGACACGCCCTCTCACTGTTAGAATTAACAGTCATGTGGCTGTCAGGTGACATTGAGGAACATCAATTGATATTTGTTTTTATTTAAATTTCAGAACTCTAATGGGAGCGTTGCTTTTGAATCTTGGAGGTGCGCCAGAAGGCCCAGCTGGTACTGGGAAAACAGAAACATGTAAAGATCTTGCAAAGGCAGTTGCAAAACAGGTTAGCCTGCAGACCTAAAGTAACTGTATTCACCTATATATATATTGTACCATATATACACACTATCTATATTTGTATTTTTTAAACCAAAGTGATGACTTAAATTTCAATGTGAACTTTAATAAATGAATCTCAGTTTATAATGAAACTTATTTTTGTTTTTTTATTTATTTAAATTTATAAACATATCCTAAATAATTATCTCCATTTGCCTTGGTAGTGTGTTGTGTTTAACTGTTCTGATGGCCTGGACTACAAAGCTATGGGAAAGTTCTTCAAGGGTCTTGCCCAGTCAGGTGCATGGGCATGTTTTGATGAGTTCAACAGGATTGAATTGGAGGTTAGTTTACAGTATAGCAGGTATAATGTTTATATTATGGTTACTTCTGTATTACGATGTCCAACAGAAAGAGGAATAGGGAATGGTGTAAGGCAATGGGTAGCTTTGATGTATGGTATATATTTTGGCACATTCAGACTGTAGGAAACAGTTGTGTTAAGTTTATCCAGGTATGTAACTCACTCATAGATTAATTCAATTCAATTCACTTTTATTTCCACACATTTACAGCAAATTACAAAATATACATTGAACATGTACACAGAACACCATAAATAGTGGAAAAAAGGAAATTGCAGAAGGCTAAGCCTTTGTAAAACGCAATGCTCTTTAAATACAATATAAACATATAAGGTAAGAAAAGAAAAATTGAAGTAATGAATGAATACAGATAATAAATGTATAATAAAAAGTATGAACATATAACTGCAGTCACAACATGCATTAAAAGCATTTTAATTGGACAAAAACCATTGTCAATTTTCAGGTTCTGTCAGTGGTTGCTCAGCAGATCCAAAGCATCCAGAGGGCAGTGGCAGAGCGGAAAGAGATGTTTGTATTTGAAGGAACCAAGATCTCATTGGATCCCTCCTGCACTATGTTCATTACAATGAACCCTGGGTATGCTGGTAGAGCTGAGCTGCCTGACAATTTGAAGGTCAGAAGAAATTATGTCATTGATTTGAATATATTAGCATAGAGGTCAAAGTCAAGTAGAAGTAGACTATTTGATTGGTCATTTTTTATACAGTATGAAGGATTCCACAAATGTCCTAGCCTCATCGTGCTATTTGATATCATGTAATCTATAGGCAAAACCTCTGACTTAGAATTTACAACTATCACATGACAGTAGAATGATGGACAGTTACAAATTATAAAATTTTAAACTTGCGTGTGTTTTTTTTTTTAAGGTATTGTTCCGTACTGTTGCCATGATGGTTCCTGATTATGCCTTGATTGCTGCTATTAGCCTTTACTCAATGGGGTTTGTGTGTGCAAGAGGCTTAGCTACCAAAATTGTAGCCACTTACAAATTATGTTCAGAACAGGTAAACATATATTATTTGTATGATTGTATAGATTGAGATGTTGGTAGTGATGGTTTATCAAAAGAATTTACTAATCCAGATCTATTTCTACTGACAACAGAACTATGCCATCATGGTGTATAGAGAATGAAGATTTTAGAAAATGAATATGAATTTTACCTCAGTGTTCAGGCTCACTTGACATTCTTTTCTCTTTTCTCCACAGTTGTCTTCCCAACATCATTATGATTATGGCATGAGGGCAGTGAAGTCTGTCTTAACAGCTGCTGGCAACCTCAAGCTCAAATTCCCAGACACACCAGAAGATGTTCTGGTGTTGCGGTCAATCAAGGATGTTAACTTACCAAAGGTACATACCATACATGATATCCAAGTTGTACCTTGTAATGGTACTCTATGCTAATGTATGTAGTGTTCATGATTCTTAGCTGGATGGTGACATTAGTAATAATGATAAATATTAAATGATGTCAGTGTGATGAGTGCTCTAGATAATAATTATTACACCATTTCATACATCCTCTTTGTCTTGGCAGTTTCTTTCTCCTGACATTCCCCTCTTCGAAGGCATAATATCGGATCTGTTCCCAGGCTTGGAGTTACCCAAGCCAGATCGAAGCACTTTAGAAAATGCTCTTATTACCAACATATCAAAGAGAGGTCTGCAGCCTGTGCCCTGGTTCATTGAAAAGATTGTCCAGGTAAGATGTAGATACTATAATAATCCTACAGGCCCACATTTTGACATGATAGTACTAATAGTCAGGCATGCCGCAGCCAATAATAAGATGGGAACAGAGGATGTTTCTATTTTCATCAAGCGTAAAGATGAATGAAGGCTCACCACTTGTAGGATAGATGTGATGTTTTACAATAAAGTCTAAATACCAGGCTAGGGCGTGATGTTTTATAGTCATGAGAAAAAATTCTGGTTTTGAATTTAAACACAATGCTCAGATGAAAATGCTCAATGCACATTGGCAGGTTATATATTCTCAAGGTTATTTTACTTTTACTGTTTATAATGTATACAAAACATGATTATTATTAAGTATATTTATATGATTAGATCTATGAGATGATATTGGTGAGGCATGGTTTAATGATCGTTGGTGAAACCATTGGTGGAAAAACAAGTGCATTCAAGGTGTTGGCTGACGCTCTTCATGATCTCTGTGTCAACAAAGAAATGGAAGAGTACATGGTAAGAGAATGAAGCAAAAAGATGGGGTTTAATTATTGTTCTGATTATTAACATTTACCAATTATCCAAACTAACAATTTATTTAGTCAGTTTGACATAAAAAATGCACTTAATATCTGCGAAGGAAGCCTTGTTATTGTTAGTTTATTCAAGTAGCTTTCTCTTACTACAAGTTTATCACCGTTGACCTCAAATCTTTCAGGTTGACTATCGAATCATGAATCCAAAGGCTATTACAATGGGTCAGTTATACGGTAGATTTGACCCCATCTCCCATGAATGGTCAGATGGTGTCCTGGCCAATATCTTCCGTGAACATGCAAGTAACACTTCAGATGATCGTAAGTGGTTGGTCTTCGACGGCCCTGTGGATGCTGTCTGGATAGAGAACATGAACACTGTGTTAGACGACAATAAAAAGGTATTTAAATTAGTTAGCTAGCAGTTAGGTTAAAGTTTTTAGATTAACTGGATTATTTTCATTGTCTTATTTGCATTAAGTTGTATTACAATTCCCAACTCCATTAAGGGTGTCTCAATCTGTGTCTTCTAAACATTAGAAAGAGAACCAGTCCACACTCTCTGTGGGTTCCAAAGAAATGGCAGTTTGCTAATTTTTAGTTGTCTATAGTTTTCATCATATCACATGAGTTTCAGATAGCATTTTGTCATCATTTGAAACTGTTGTTCAAAATTTTGTTTTTTCCTATGAACAACAAACATATAGTGACACCTTCCAGGTTGGAAGAAACAAGTATACTTTGATTTGTTAATTCTCATGCAGCTTTTTTATTTTCCAGCTTTGCCTAATGAGTGGTGAAATTATCCAGATGAACAACAAGCAAAACATGATCTTTGAACCCAGAGACTTGGAACAGGCATCACCAGCAACAGTCAGCAGGTGAGCTGTAGAATAAAAAAAATGGCTTCCATTAAAAAAATCATAGTTGTTGGGTACATTACATATAAAGAGCTTGTAGTGTTCATTATTTTCATAACAGAGGGTATAATTTGTAGAATTACATATTATATTTGATTGAAAATAGAGGGCAGTAGACAGTGTATTATATATTATAGTAAAGATTAATAATGAGCCCAAATGGTTTCTTCTGAACAGGTGTGGTATGATTTACATGGAACCATTGCAACTTGGCTGGTCACCCCTAGTTACATCCTGGTTAGAGAATGATGTACCTGACTTCATAAACAAACAACAGAAAATGACAATCAAGGTAAATAAAGGAAAAGTAGAATATGTTGCAGCAGTATAAGGCATAGACATGTGCATAGTCCATCCGATTTGCAACACACGGGATACACATAGTCATGCAGCCTGATTGACTATAAATATTGTGCAAATTGCATTGGTGGATAGTAATGATAATTGGATAGTAATAATAGCTGGATAGTGTTATGGAACCTATGAAGAAATCCAGCGGAAGTATATGGCCTGAGCGAAGAGCTCAGGTATTATGATGTTAAAGCATTTTGTGAAGTGTTTGTAACTTAGGCTTGACAAATAACGCAACTATGCACCACGATTATTGTTGTTGACTGAGCTGCATCCCACTAAATGGCACACTTTCGCACACCGTAATGCGGGGTAGTGCAAAACTAAAATTTGTGTCAGGATGTCTTAACCGACATTCTAATTTAATTTGTGTCAGGGTGCCTTAACCGACTTTCTAGTTTAATTTCAATTTTTGATTCTCAATAGCTTCTCTATGAATGGTTGCTACCACCATGTCTACATCATGTGACCAAGAATTGTCGTCTGATCGTTCAAGCATCACCAATGCACTTGACGATTTCCATGATCAAACTTTACGGATGCTTGTTGAATGACGTGCGGTAAGAATCCAAGCGTTATCTTAATTTGCAGTGGCGTGCGTATATGTCGTAGTCAGAATGAAACTTAATAATTATGTAACACTTAAAATTTAATTAATATGTTAAGATATGTAAGAAACAAAAATTTATGATTTTATGTATGACTTCACCATTTGATACGAGTACATGCGTTTATTGTGAATATGAGAATGTCTTATGGTATTACTTAAGATATTTATTAATTATTAAGTCTGTTAAGTATGTGTGGTATATGAATTTCTTAATACATGCATTTTAATTGGTTTTTGCTTGATTAACTTTTCATTTGCCATATTAGTGTATTCACTGATGATTGTAAAACATTCCATTCACTATTTGATTTGTGACTATGAGACTTAACAATGTTTGATAAGATTAATTATTAATTATTATTATTATATTTTTGAGCTACTTGGTGGTGTATATTGGTTGTCACCCAATAAATAACTTTTACATAACTTCACCAATTTTTACACAAGGACAAAATTTAACAATGAACATGATTTTATTTTACAAAATATATGGGAACTCAATTTCACAACTAATTATCATTTTAATATGCGTTTACATGGTATATGTGTTTATATTGAAGTACAGTATATTATTGTAAAGATTTTAACTCACTGTTTTAAAATGTGAGCCCCTACTAATGATTTTAGTCAATTTCATGTATACAAATTTGGCCAATTTCCTATTAAGAACTTTTTTTCAAAATAAAAAAATGTGGTATTTTAAAATAATTTCTTTACATACATGAAATAAAAAACTGAGATTAACAGCTTTTAACTTAAAAGAAATACAGTGCACCCTCCAATTTGAGACCCCTCTAATCCGAAACCCCTCTAATTTGAGACCGCTTATATAAGAACCAAAAAACAATCTTCAATCTTTTAACACAAAGCTACCCCTCAAATTGCAGACCGAGACCATCCAAATTTTTACGTCCCAAAGGTGATCTCGAATTGGAGAGCGAAGTGAATGGGAAAGAAAAAATATTTATACTCTATTAAATATACACATATACTAATATATTAGTATATGTGTATACTCTATTAAATATACACATATACTAATATATTATAATAATGTATTAATGTATTGCTGTTTACCATTAATATAATTGTTTATTGTTTTCTCCACATAATATTGTTGTGCATCATGTGACACATGCTTCATGTTTGCTTTCAGTTTTATCAGAAATAGGTAAGGCTGTTGTATGTTTGTTTGCTATTTATTTCTCCACATTTCATGTCTTTTTCATTTTTAATAATTTCCTTCATTTTCATTTCATTTTTTTCTCATTTCTTTGTAATTATTTGGTGAGTTTTGTTAAAGTTGTTGCTCATTTGAATTTTACTGCTTTTTAATATGTGAATTACATTGGTTGTAATGTTGTTTATCATAGTGTTGATTTATACAAACAGGCTTTAATTTTTAGAAAGTGCTATATATAATCAACATTATTTGTTGTGACCATCAACTTTCAGTATGCATTCATGTTTTTTAAAATTTTCAATATATACTATGTTTATATAGAGAGAAGAATAGTTAGTTAAATTGTTAGTACCCACTTTGTGTGCTAAATAAAATAAATAAATAAGAATTTTTTATTTGCCCTCATTCTAATATGAATTCAGAAATTTGGGGTAATCCGTGGCAACCGAAGTGCAGCGCCACCCAACTTAACTACTACTGTATATAACAGACACATACGGATACAAACATTGCCCTTAACCCGCCTAACTCTCAATATGAGGGTTATTCGAGGATCTAAGCAACCAGACTCCAAATAAGACCCGACGCTGGCCGGGTTTGATCCGGGGGCTTCAGCACAAGAAGCAGGAACAATAACTCTCAGCCACCCACTGAGAGGTTTTTTGGTTCCTTCCTTGTTGCTTCTCTTGTGTTGCATCTAAAGGTCTTGTACAAGCATTTTTTATAACTTTGGTGGCATATGAATCAATGTGCACATTAAAGAACTCTCTATGTTTATTCTAAAAAAAGAATTTGCACAGTGCAGGGGCAGATCCAGAGATGTCCAAAAAGGGGGCCGAAAGGGGGGGCTGATCGAGACAGTACTATCCCAGGGGTTGCTGGAAATTGTTGTTTTCTAGACGCCCAAAAATAAACTCTGAGACGTTTTGGTGATCAAATTTTTCTTTCTTTTTTTTTTTTTAACTTTCGAAAAGTGGGGACCAGGGCTGGCACGCCCCATTCTGCCCCTGCAGCGACATCTGGAAATCAATATCGGTCTCACAGAAATTTTTGCATACAGTATACCTAGGCTCACTGCAGAGACATCTTACCTCGAGTTAGCAACCCATTTGTTAATTTCTTTCTCCTGCCTGTAGTTGATTGAGATTTTGTCTTGTTGACATTTCTCTGACATCTTTGTATCACCATGTTTACTTAAAACCTTTGCACCTTCTTTCTTTCCTCAAATTTCAAGTAATTTTACAATTCATATATATTTTATTTTTTCTGAAATTATATGTATTTTCACAATTTATTTATATTTTGTTTGTGCTCACAATGTTACATTATTTAGATGTAGAGAGCATCCAGACTTTGATGGTGAAATTGTAAAGTGGTAACAATAATTTTTTCTTCATTGATTTCTGCCTCTGTTTGATATTTTCCAATTCTCTTATATCTGAATGCATGACAGTCTCCCCTTCCATTGTCATCTTGTGTCTGTTAATAATTTGTTTTCTTTTTCTCCAGCTTGATATATTTTGAAAATAACGGGTTAAAAAAAATTCAAAGTTACCTTGATTCTGTAAATTATTTTTGTTATTCCTCAACCACCATTTTGTGAGTCAGTTAATAATTTATGATAACCACCATTTGTTTATATTGGACCTGTTGCTTGGTTGTGAAAGATGCTTGCAAACTGATTAATCCTGGGTTTAGGATCCTATATCAGTTTTTTTATCCTGCCCACCTACCCACTTATACCCCTGAGTGGAGAGAGAGAGAGAGAGTCTTAGATAAAATACCTTTTACCAGACATGCGAAATGCTCAACAAAGAGTTGCAACCCCCTATCTCATTTTTAGGTCTAATTTCATTACTTTACAAACCAAACATTAATATAATTTTCGTAACTCCATCTTGTCCTTCTCCGTTTGACACAAGATCTATGTACATCACTTCTCTATTCCAGGGAGGATTCCGATGATGATTTGATTGAAGAGCAGGAGGATCCAGAAAACTCAAGTCCGTCATTATCAGATCAAAAATTGAACGAGGAACGGACAAATATGGTAGTGTGTTACTTCCTGTTTAGCCTTGTTTGGTCCGTGGGAGCCGTCGTTGACGGATCATCAAGAGACAAGTAGGTTTACGTATTGTTTCCACATTTCTTAAATCTAGGATATTTAACATCAAACTTTAATAAAAATAGAGTATTATAAGATATGAAAAGACACAATTTGTGTAAGAGGCCCCTATAACTGCCAATAATAACAAACTGCCATAGAGGGCAGTATATTTTTTACAGTCCATAGTAAACAAGGCATGTAGCTCCATCTATTTTGATGTAGTAAAAATATATAAGATAAATATAATATTCTTATTGTCTTATTGTGTACAATGCAGTATACATGCTGTAAATACAAAAAAGAGATATTAAAACATAAAAATTATGTATATAAAAAAAATATTACATTCACAATACCGTTTATACATATATACAGTATGTGTGTTGCAAATTTGTTATTCATACCCATCAATCTGCTATCCTCTTTCTACAGCTTCAGTGAATTCTTCAAGCAACTCTGTGACATGGACACAACCGGGAAGTACCCACGTCCCAAGGACTTAAAATTTCAGCGTAGCCTGATCATCCCCAAAAAAGGATCTGTCTATGATTTTGTGTTCATGCGGAAAACCTATGGATCCTGGACTTCTTGGGAAAACCTAGTGGAAAAGCCAAACCTAGGGGTCAAAACACAGGTAGGAAATGATCTTGTAGCATGGAAATGTGTGAATCTATTATTTTTTTGTGGTATCTTCAGATATTCTAATTACTAAAAAAAAACAATAATTGTAAGCTCTGTCTAGACCATCAAATTTTCTTTGACAAAAAAAATGTTGTATGGCCATATATAGTCATGATGTGCCTATATATGGTCATTATGTGCCTATATATGGTCATTATGTGCCTATATATATGGTCATGATGTGATGTCATCATGATCATATTTAGGCATGTCGCATAGTCTGGACAGGGCTTTATATTCTTGTGATTCTAACTGACTGCTCTTTATTGCATTTTTTTGTATTTTGCTATTGATACATTTTTCTTTTGACTTCCATGTGAATGTAACTGTTCTTTTTTTTATGTTTGGTATGAATTAGTTTATAATTTCTAATAAAACTTTACCATGTGGGTGTGGAAGAGTTTGTGTGTGTGCAAGGCGTATATACAGAAATGATAAAGATTAAAAGTGTTGTTTATTCATCTTATTTATCGGTTGCATCTGGTTGCCACTCTTGGAATATACAAATATTTTGAAAAAAAAATCAATATTAAACTACATGACATGAGATAAGAGTTAAGCTCTGACTAACATTTTTTCTAATCTTGAATATATTTTTTTCTTCATATATATTAATCATATGTGTGATTTTATGCTGTGGCTACAACTAACATTATTGTTATTCTTTGGTTCATTGGATATTTTTTTGCTGTTCTTCATCTACACTCTTGTGATCCTCATTCATGCTTCATTCAAGGATGATCCTACCAAACAGGTTATGGTAAGACAACTCATCTCTGTCTCAGAAGTAGCTATGATCCATTTTTCTCTCTTTTTTTCCATATTAACATTGATGATCATTATTCTTTATCCTTCTTTTCACCTATCACATTAATATTGGTTTGTAATTTTGATAGAGTTCCTTTTTTTGTATATTGCAACTAAGTTATAGTTGGGTTACATTGTTGTCAATAATTATTTATTTTTATTTTATTTCAAGTCTCACCCAACAGTGGGTAACCTGCCACTTACCAAATGGATTAGCAATAAAATAAACGTATAAAAATATTTATATTATTGATATGGAAAAAGAGAAGCACAAAAAACATACATCAGTAAGAAAAAACAAACACATTAAAGCAACTGGCAAAAATAATTATTAATAAAATGTCAAAAAAGGCGTGAAGCAATAATAGCAAAATGAAAAAGCCCTGCGCAAAGAAACATAAGAAATATTATGGAAAACCTTACAAATTTTCTGGTTAAAAACAGAGAAATTGTCAGAAAATAGATAGAGGTGTCTTTAGAAGATATTGAATTATAAGGCTTAGGGATTCTAGAAATAAAAAGAATTTTTAGTGGGGTCAACTCTGCCAAAAGGCATGAAAAAAGGGAAAAAAAAGATTTTTAATTTAATTTAATTTTTGCTCAATTTAGTTATCAGTTAAGATAAAAATACATGTTGTTTATATTATTAAAATATTTCAAAATATTTTTTATAGGTTAATGAGCTCATCATCAAAACAGTGGACACTGAGAGACAACTTTATTTCCTACGTAAGCTGCTCCTTCAGGGTAAACCACTTCTGTTTGTTGGACCAACTGGTACAGGAAAGTCAGCGATCACCAATAACTTTCTGATTGAACTCGCTACACAGAATTATATCCCGAATAATGTAAACTTCTCAGCCCAAACGAGTGCAAACCAGACACAGGATATCATTTTCTCGAAGTTAGACCGACGAAAGAAGGGGACATATGGTCCACCACTAGGGAAGAAAACTATTGTCTTCGTTGATGACCTCAACATGCCTGCTAAAGAGAAATATGGCGCGCAACCACCAATTGAGTTGCTGCGACAGTGGATTGATCACGGATACTGGTTCGACCGTAAGGATACAAGCGTATTAAAGTTGATTGACATCATCATGGTGTCAGCTATGGGTCCACCAGGTGGAGGTAGGAACACGGTGACGTCGCGGTTCTTAAGACACTTTAACATCATCGCAATTGACTCATTCGATGAAGAGACGATGAAGAAGATCTTCTCACCGATCATGGATTGGCATTTCGACAAAGGATTTGAGACCAGTTTAAAACGGTATTCCAGGGTAAGGTTATTGTGCAACCTGGTCATGATGTGACGTTATCATGACCATATTTAGGCATGTCATATGACACGGCTGAAGTCTGATTTGAATACAATTTGTGTGTTTGTTGCTGTTGCTTCTGCTATAATGATGGTAATGAAAATGATGATGATAATGGAGTTCAATTGTAGATTTTTAGTTAAGATGATATTCAATATCTCCGGCCTCTGGGAGTCACACATTTTACTTTCACAAATAGATAATGGTGTACGCAACCACTGCAGTGTATATGGAATCGATCTCAAACTTTCTACCGACTCCTACCAAATCTCACTACTTATTCAACTTACGGGATTTTGCTCGGGTCGTCCAGGGGATTCTCCTTATTGGGCCAAGATGCGTGCCATCTGGAAACGAGGGTGCTAAGAAACTGATACGATTGTGGGTACATGAGGTGTACCGTGTCTTCTACGATAGACTTGTGGATGAGGATGATCGACAGACATTCTTCAAGATCATTAAGGTAAGCCTTTTTTTAAATCTTGTTCAAAAGAATTATGAATATTGGAAGCGTTCGACACTGTGTTTGAGACTCGTACCCTCAACTTCGTGAGTTTTCCATAAATGAGCCACTTAGTGTTAGCTGATATTGTGTGGAAATATATTTAATATCTGTGATTCTCCAGGCATTATAAAAACACAGTATTAATATTATTATTATTATTATTACATACATGTACAGAAGATGGGAATATTTAAATAAGTATGCAAATGAACCTTTTGGTCAATTTCAGACTGTTGTTCAGAGTCAGTTCAAAGAGAAGATGAATGCAGTGTTTTCACATTTGTCAGATGCTAAGGAGGTTAATGATGATAGTATGAGAAGGTAGGGAAATATTAATAATATATTATATAAGGTCTACATTGATATTTATACAGTGTTTATAGTATGAATTAGAGGGCCCTTTGATGATGTAGCTACTCTTAATAAGTACAGTTAAATCATGGAGAAAATATATTAATATTTTGTTCATGGTTGAATAAACTAGAATGTACTCACATTGTGTATATGAGGCATGTTGTGGCAAAATGGCTAAGTTGTAGCAAAAATTGAAATTCCATTTATTGGTATTTTCAAATACCTGAGTATGTGATCTTTAAAATGAGAGTTCATTCATTCAAATTGGACATTTCAAACCAAAGTTATTGGAAAGTGAATGTACAGTACTCTTAGAGTCAAGATAAACAGGATTTTGAGTAATTG